CAGGTGGCGGCAAGAAAGTCTGCTGCGGCTTCTGCTGCTGACTCTGGGGACAATTCGCAGCTCGATGTCCCATCTGCCCACAAGTAAAACAACCACTGCTGCCACGCCTGCACTCACCAAAGTGCCGATTATTACACTTGCGGCAAAGCGGAGCCCTACCTCGGCCACCATCACCCTGTCTCTGGCCTCTAGCACCACCAGCAAACCTACCTCCACGTCCCTGACCAGTGGCGCTGAAACCACCGCTAGAAGAGCTAGAACTAGTACCACCCCTCTTGAAATTCTGAGTCTGACGAGGCCCGAGCGACGCTTGACCTTTACCCTTAACATCTTTCTTTTGATTACCATTCTTCTCTTCCTCATCACTCTCGCTCGACATATTTTCAGAGTCCTCAACTCTCAGCAGAACCTCATAAAAATCCTGGTGAGTATCACAGCGGGTAGTGGTCGCCATCGAACGTCATTTCTTCTTAGTGCCTTAGCGAAAACGACGAAGCATCTCCGCCGGATTACCAGCAATCTCAGGATGATAGCGAGACAAATCAGTGAACTTCCGATAGTACTCATTCGCTGTTAGCTTCCTCTGTTTCAACTCAGTAAATTCCTGCTTCTTACGATCAATGTACTCAGGGGGCACAAACCTTCTCTTGAATAATTTAATGAAAACATCCCAATCAGTCTTCTCAGCTGGAGTCAAACGACGAAGTTCCTGCTCCCACCAGGCTGCAGACTCCGAACCCAGAAACCACGAGGTCGTCTCTACCCACTTCTCAACTGGAAGATTCCCCTGACTATTCAGAACACAAAAAGTCTTCTCAATGTGCTCTAACCATCGCTCCGTACCCTCATGACCTTCATTACCCTCAAACTTATCCAACTTCAAATTATACATAGTCTCCAGAGGAGTCCTCTGGGGAGGGCGAATCGCCGACTGAATGGCTGTAGCAATAGCTTCCCCCAACTGAGCGATATCGGGGAAACTAGGCTGCATAGTTCTGACAGAAGACACCAAAACCATTAGAATACTCACAAAGACACAGGACTGCCAAACCTAGGCTCTAATACCAAACTGACACACCCCGACCGAGATCAGGGCATGCTGGCCGTCACGTGGAAATGAAGTAGCCATGTGCACAGTGCGGAAGCTAATAAAATATTAAAGTAAAAGTACGAATAATTAAAAACTAGCATACATAAGTTAAAAGTAATAAGTGCTAGCGTAAGTGAAACACAAGTTCAGAGCAGAAAGCCTAAAGCAGTCCAAACTAAAATGACGCTACAACAGTACACCCGAAGGTGGCCCTACGCTGGTGATCGTCTGTCAGAAATGCCGGGAAAGCCCTCTGGGAAACCACCAAACTTGCTAGCTAGCTAGAACCTGGAGAGGCGCAAAACAAAAGCGTGAGTGGGCAAAAACTAAGCTTTTCGAAAACCATTTCAAAAACAAGATTCTAACCCCTCGCCGTAAAACCTGTATACTTCCCAGAAAATAAACATATGCACATAGATACAAAAATGCCAATCAGGCTCAAATATATGCCATGTCGGAACCTCTGAATGAAATGCCAGTGCTCAGGAGTAAATCAGATCAATAACATATAATCTGGCAGCCGGAGTCACCTAACGTGACCTGTACGGCCGCATCTAGAGCTCAAATCTCAATCACAACAACTAAACCTGCCCACGAGTCGGAACCACCTAAAGTGGTCTGTACGACAGGCCTGGGTGTAATACATATTAACGCTCTAGTGCTATGATCACGTGAAGACTGTGCGAATAATCGCGGGTCACCTGCGAGTCGGAACCACCTAAAGTGGTCTGTACGATAGGATTGTGCACCTAACTTGGATCCAAGCTGAGCGTGTGGTGTGGGAGGTGAACAACACGTGAATGACTGTGCCCTACTCTGGGCGGGAGCACTAACACCGGGGGTGCAGGTTATGAGCTCTATAAGCATCTCTAATCACTATTGAATGCAAATATGAAATAACGCTTACCTGGCACTTACCTGTGCATCCACAGCACCAATTATGCATACGTATATATATACGACTAATAAAGCTACTAATGATGCATAAGGAACGATAATATAACACATGGCATATAATTAACAACATTTAAATCAATTTCTGGGAAAATAATAGTATATAGGTATATACGGAAAACCAAAAGCCCACTCACTGGTAAGTGGAAGGGTCGTAGCCCCCCTGCCTCGAGTGACCACGCTCGTCCTCGGGATACGTCTCACCTATATGCGAAAATACTATAAAAACGTAAATTTTAAAGCACATAACCTTCCTTTCATAACAACTTCTCATACATTGCTCAAATTGGACAATTGAATATACCAACGTGCTCTACACAACCTCAGGATCACACCCAAATTTTTGGAAAAAATTTCCACCGCCGTACGCACCCCCACGCGCCGGCCACGTGCCTGGCACGCTGACGGCGTCAACTGACGCCGTTAGGAATATTCCGTCAGTTTTGACAGATTCCGTTAACGGCGTCAGGAATATTCCGTCAGAATTGACGGAATATTCCGTCACCTTCTCCGGCGAGCCTCCGGCGCCGTCGCCGGCGCCGGAAAACTGGAAAATCTTTAAAACGTTCTAACTCCTTCATTTTTCATCCAATTTTCACAATTTTTGTACCAAAATGACGCCTAGAACTAGGAGAACAACGATATACCACTTTTATAGGTTAAAAACTACGAGATCTCACCTGTCCACACAAACTAAATCCGGCCAACTTCGAATACGGTGATCCCGACGTCCAAATCTTTCAAACAAACTACTCCGAGACTCCTTGGGACCTCACCAAGCTACTTACGAGCTTCATTTCCGCTAAAAAGTGAGAATTTACGTTTGCATGAATAGTATTCAAATCGGACAACTTCGAATCGACGTGAAAACGTTGATATTCTTACCTGAAAATGGTGTGGTTGGGTTCCCATGAGCCTCACAAGCTCGAATGTGTGCTTGGTTCCTTCAATCTGTGAGTGTTTAATGGGTTTTGGTGCGTGTCCGTACGTTTTCAAAGAAGGAGGAAGGGAATGGGGCTCGGGGAACTTACAGGGAAAGGGGACAGAGGGTGGTGCAGGTGTGGGAGTGTGTGTGTGGCCCAAAGACATGCTAACACAACACAAAACAACCAAATTAACGTAACGAAATCGAACTAGGGGCAAAACTGTCTTTTCACACGTACGTTTTCGATATTTTCGGGACGGGCTGTCACAAAAATCAACCCAAGAACAATCGTGGAAGCACCGAAAATCTAATGGAAATTGAAGAGAAACTAAATTAGGAAAAAAAATGTAAACTACTACGATGATAAACCATTAGAATCTATGGCGTGAGCCTGGTGGCTATGATACCATATTAACTACATTGCAAAAGATGGGAACTTAATAAATAATATTTTTATTATTTATGGGAATCAATATATAACATACGAAAAAAAAATCTCAATAATTGTTACAACCAATTTAATATTAAAAAAATTACAATTAAATGACAAGGATTAGAATTAGTTTTTAATCTTAGACAAGGTTTTATTCAAAAAGTATTCTTAAACAAGGATTAGAATAGAATTATAGCACATTTATTATTTATAAACTTACCATTCGAAATTATTTACCCATCCATAATTAATGTTTTTTTTGCTCCAATCATATTTATAGATAAAGATTTATTCAAAATTCAAATTCGTATTATTAAAAAATTTCAACAACAAAACAAAAACAATTTATACATAACTTTCAATACAATATTTTATTCATAGGTACAGAAGTACTAGTACAAATGAATGGGTACATAATTTTAGGTACCTTATTTTACTTATAGGTACAGAAGTATCAGTTCATAAGTTTCTGTACGAATATATCGGTACAAATGTATCCATATGTAACTATAGTATCTAAACATACATATGTACGTAACACGCATATACATATATATAGAGAAATTCACGCACAATGAAAAATATATGACTTTTCTTATTATGGGAACTTAATAAATAATATTTTTATTATTTATGGGAATCAATATATAACATACCAGAAAAAAAATCTCAATAATTATTACAACCTATTTAATATTAAAAAATTACAATTAAATGACAAGGATTAGAATTAGTTTTTGCTCCCAAAAGGCCTCGTGCTAGGTAGAGATGGAAATATACATATAAGGATCACTCCCCTGGACGATGTGGGATCTAACATCTTATGTATTTCGCTTATGCAATGTTGGAGGTATATTTGATATTCAAGTAGGATACCATATGGCATTTGTGATAAGGGTGGCGGCACCAGGTCTATGTTGATTTGGCTACCATGGTACACATGATATAGCAATAATATACAAGCTCAAATGCCAAGAGGGTTTTCTTAATGCAGAGACTTTGTGCAGCAGCAACCTCACTCTCCAATTGTAAGGATACTGCACTAATGTTCTTTGACAATCTGACTGCTTCAACCTCATGATTAAGTGCCCCAATCTTGAGTTTGAGGGGGGATGTTAGAATATAATATTGTAAACCTTAGTTAGTTAGTTAGTTAGAGACTTTGCTCTATATATGTACATCATTGTAATAACTTCTTGAGTAAGAAATCAATACAACAGATTCTGCAATTCATCTCTCTAAAATCTGTTCTCTCTCTCTCTCTCTCTCTCTCTCTCTCTCTCTCTCTCTCTCTAACCTTAATCATTTCTCAATCTCCCTCTACATTAACATCTACCACTAGACCCAAATTTTGAACATCCTTTATATTGAATAGTGATCGATTTCACGTTTTCTTTGAACCATCCAAACATACTAGCATACTAAATATTTGAAAGAATTACATATTACATATTGGATACCAATTGGTTTGCCACTATTTTTTCGAAAGGATAATGAATTTCAGTTCGAATCTTTCTTTTTTTTTTTTTTTTATTCCCAATAATTGCAAGCTAATATATGTGTGTGTGATTGTATTTTAACTTGAATTTGTGTTTTAGGGAGTTCTCATCTCAGGACCTACAGTGACCCTGATTTCATGGTGTGTAAAGAAGGGAGGACCATTGTTTGTCGCAGTTTTTCAGCCTCTCTTGCTTGTGATAGTTGCACTTGCAGGCTCTTTGCTGCTGGATGAAAAGTTGCACGTCGGAAGGTAATGAGATCCACTTACCCAATATTACTTTTGCTTTTTGATTGAAGACATTTGTCTTGCGTTGTGTTTCTATGGATTGATCAAGCATACCAAAACTTTTTTTGGTCAAAGATCAAGCGCTTAGTAATGGTGACAGAAGAGGCAAAAAGGATGAAGGGGTAAAAAAGAGACGAGTTTTTAACATCGAACTCATCAGCTTCCTATCATCTCATCTCCTGTGGTCACGATAGTGTAATCACCTAAAACTTTACCTCTTATCTGAGTCGACCATTGCATGCATATATAGTTCAAATTCAGAGTTTCGTGATGTAAATATTCTTTTGGCAATGTAAGTATGAGAAGAAGATAGTACCATGTAAAAGTCATATTCAACAACTATTGGTTAAAATCAGACAAAGACTAACACATGCAAAATAATTGAAGGTGTTCAAAGTCTTTACATCCTTTAAAACACATGTAGATTTAGACTTTTGCACGCACACACTCTGCATATTCCACTGGTTGCAATCACAATTTCGGCCAGCACAGAAGAGGCACTTAATTTTGGTAGCTGCAGGATGCATGAGAGAAAAAACAGCTAGCAGCACACAAACATTGAAATCATGTTTTTATTTGAACTTCCAACAACACAAACAGTTGGTTGGAAGCCAAAATATGCCCAAAGTTGAACTAAATATTTATACATGCATGTGCAAATGTCTGCAGCATACTTGGAGGATTGCTGATTGTAATTGGAATATACGCTGTACTGTGGGGCAAAAACAAGGAACAGAAGACTCAGTTAGCATCCTCAATAAGTTTCAAGTGTGAATCCAACCCTGTATCCACCGAAGCTGTTACAGCTAGAGTGACCATTGTGGACATGAACAACTTCAATGAGGCCAATGCTTGTAATGGGGAAGATGTGATTTCAGACAAGGAAATACAAGATAGCAGAAAGTAATAACAGAGGCTAACAGAATTGCCAAGTGTCAAATGTACAAGCTGCCAAATGTCATTAGTGAAGAGGTTGCTTACAAGATAAGCAGGGTAGTTACTAAATAAGGATGGTGATGTAGCCACTATAAATAGCTAATGAGAATTAGAAACTGTCTTCTACTTCGTTCATACTGCTTCTTCTTTCTACTGCTTCTTCATTTCCTGCAGTTCCTTTGATTTACAAAACCCTAGATTCCTTGATTGTTATCAGAAAGGAGGACTTGAAGGCTTAGTCAAATTTCACTTTTTAAACCAATATTAAGATATGAGCTACCAGTCTTAAGATGATATATAGATTCCTGAACTGCCAATATCGGTTTGCCCCCTGAACTTGTATAGAGGTACCAGTTTTCCTTCTGAATTTTAATTTTATCTGATTACCTCTCTAAACTTTTATAATTAGCCAATTTCTCCTCTGAACTTTAACTTTAGCTGATTACCCCTTAAAATTTTATAAATAGCCAATTCCCACCCTCCCCCCCCCCCCACCTAGCATTAGACTTTAAATTTTCATCCAATTTTCCGTTCTTTTTGCCCTCATACAATTGTCATGCGTTGTCCGCATGATCAAAATGGATAAAAATTTGGATGAAATTTTTAAAAGTCTATCATTAGAGGAGAAATTGGCTAATTATAAAAGTTTAGGGGGATAATTGGCTCAGGGAAACATTGACATCTTTATACAAGTTTAGAGGGCAAATCGACAAATATACTTTTTTTAATAAAATGATATGTATTTGCACTAGGAGGGAGGGTTAAACTGGTTTCAAATTTACCATCTATGAGATTCAAATCTAATTTTTTTTTTAAATTTTTTTTATTACAAATGAAGAGGAACGTTATCAGACTGTTTAATATTGCCATGGTGAATGGGCTTGAGGTTCACTTGCATCTTATCATCTATAAAGAGAGAATTTGAAATGGAACATTTAATATTGATATAAAAAAGTGTCACGGGATGAGATTCTGAGGTTCAAACACTCTGTGTGGCCTTAGGCTCGATTGTGCAGCCTTAAACTCAAATGCTCCCACGAACAAGCTAAGTAAGCTTTCACACCTAACAAATGGATCAAAAGTCAAAAAACATAAGAACTATACGATAAGAACATGAAGAACACACAAGAGAGACTGGGAGAAAGAATATTATATTGCTCATTAGAGAATTACACCACTCTAAGTTGGTTTGCCACAAATGTGGCCTCCCTCCTTATATACAACTTCTATCTCCATCCCTCCCTAGATAGATGGCTAAGTCGGAGCAAGCTAACGGTCCAGCATATTACAAAGGAAGAACCTAAAACACACAACGCATCTAAGATATGCACATGTAATATGGCCATCACAATGGAAGAATTAAAAAAAAAAAAGAAAAAAAAAAAACTAAAAGTGAACTGTCTAAAAGCTCCATGTCCGGCCATCAATGAGTGGGCTTTGTTGACATCGGTCTTTCGTACTTGAGTAATTGGGTCTCAAATAGGCGGCACGTGACATTCTCCCTCATCGGTCTCGCGACGATCTCGGCCCAAATATCGACGTCCTACCTTTCGAATGATTCGACTAGGTCATTATCCAACTGTCCATTCTTTCAAAATCCGGAATGCATAGACAACACAACATTCTATTTACAAAAATATTTTTAACTACATTATTTACGAAGATATTAGATCACATAATTATGTTACAAACCCTTAAACATACCGATCACAAATAAAGTCAGTTACATCTTAGAGTATTTTTTAAAAATAAATCCTCACTTTTTTTTCTTGTAGTTTCTTTTTCCTGCTTTATGAGGGTAAGATTTATAATATTTTTTTTCCGAACAAACGATATTATCTACAATAATGAGATAGGAGAGTTGGTTAAGCCTCACAATGGGTTAGCAATAATGTGATTCAAATTTGCCTTTGGTGAAAATCGAATCTAAGACATTTCATTTACAAGTGAAGAGAAATATCACTAAACCGTAGTATTAAGTGACTAAGATTTATAATATTTTGAGACTGGAGGAATAGCTTTCATTGATTAACTTTACAAAGAATAATACAATAATATATACTAGTCTAGGAGTGACTTTAAATGGGAAGTAATTAATGAAACGTGTAATTAGCAGCAGTTATAGATACAAGGCAGCAACGAGAGATTATGATGCACAAGTCAACGATTGATTTGCCTAGATGGTAAAGATGATTGGAGGCTTGATAACTGGAGGAGATGGTGGAGTTATGGTTGGTGTAGGAGTGATAGACGGAGAGGATGAGACTTCCCTTGTACACCCCCGCAAGACGGTGGATCCGTCGACTACGCCGATATTGGACCGAAGAAGTTGAAATCAAGGACGAGAAAACGACTTGGTCAAGGTGTCTGCAAGTTGATCAGTGGTAGAAACGTGGGATACTTGAAGGCTGCCGCGAATTGCACGATCACGAACAAACTGAAAATCAAAATCGATGTGTTTCATGCGAGAGTGGAGGACTGGATTGGCACAATAGAATGTTGCGCCAATGTTGTCACAGGTGATTGTAGGCTTGGTTGAAGAAACACCAAGCCCGCAGAGTAAGGATTGAATCCATGCAAGTTCTATGAAGAAAAGATCGTGTAATATGCTGTATAATATGTTTACCTAAAGTAGTTGATATGAAATCCCATTAAAAGAGGGATGCGATTTCCTAAGCATTATTGTAGAGATAATTAGTTGACTTTAGTTGTGTGTATATATTGTACTTTTACTTTGGCAATGCAATATAGGAAAAGTATTCAGTCCATCACTTTCCATAGCCTTGCAATATACCATTTTAAAATTCATTCCTTTTAATATGGTATACAGAGCATAAGGTCCTATTGCCTGCGTTTTCAACCCTGATCATATTTCCAAAATATCATGTCCGAAACACCATCGCAAAACGGTGAAACCAAACCCAAAAATTCAAACAATTTAGGTATGGATTCATCAAACCCATACTACTTTCAACATTTAAACAATCCTCGTCATATGCTAGTTTCGGAAAAATTGAATGGATTCAACTATCCATCTTGGAGTAAATCCATGATTCATGCTCTCATAGCCAAAAACAAAATTGGTTTTGTTGATGGCTACATTCAGCCTCCCTCAACAACAGATCAATCAAAAGAATATGCTCTCTGGAAGCAATGCAATGGTATGATTTTATCATGGCTCACTCAATCTGTGGAGGCTGATCTTTCCAAAGGAGTTGTTCATGCCAAAAACGCCCAACAAGTATGGGAAGATTTCAAAGATTAGTTCTCACAAAAGAACGCACCAACAATTTATCAAATCCAAAACCCATCGCATCTCTCACACCGGGCTCCATGATAGTCTCACCATATAATATTTTGAGACAAAGAATAGCTTTCATTGATTGATTTTACCAAGAATAATACATAATATACTAGTCTAGGAGTGACTTTACATGGTGGGAAGTAATATTTTTTTTTTTTTTTTGTCGAAATGTAGGAAATTTATTTAATTTGAAATGCGAACGGATATATTAGCATCTTCTGCTAAAAGATTAAAAAGAAACTTCGGTCCTAATTCATCCCAGTCAAAACTCCCGCTATGCTTAATCACGTGCGCTGCCACCGCATGAGCTGCACGATTGCATTGCTAAGGTGTAAAGCAAAACCTCACCAACTGGAACAAACTCACCATCCTCCAAATATCTTGGAGATAAATATCAAGTGTCACATTAGTCGTGATCACCTTGTTAAGCATCTGGATCAAACCTTTTGAATCCGATTCCACTACCAAACGAACCTCATGCTCCATAATGTCACTATTGAGCATCATCTCCATACCTCGCCTTATTGCTTCAGCCTCCGCCATTATTGCAGCCGCAAACCGTTGTCCACCCACTCCTCCCGCAAGTTTGGGTATCCCGGCAAAATCTCGAAGATCCCAGCCAACACCCCCTACCTTCGAATCCTTCCGCCATGCCGCATCACAATTTAGCTTCAAAAAGCCAAAGCTAGGCTTCAATGCTTCATCCATTTAGAACCATTGCCCCCGTGCCCCACCAAAGCCGAGGCACCCTCCTCGAGATCCCCTCTGTTCTGCCGCTTCCCCCCTTCCACTGCCATAGCCCCATTAAACTCACATACTTGCTGCTTCCACAAATCAATTGCCGCATGAGGTACGATTCGAATTCCCAAGATATTTGAAATATGTAATTAGCAGCAACTATGTATAGACAACAATTAGAGATTATGATGCACAAATGAACGATTGATTTGCCTAGTTGGTAGACTGATAGAAATGATTGGAGGCTTGATATCTGGAAGAGATAGTGACGTCATGGCTGGTGTAGGAGTGATATAGACGGAAAGGAGGAGATTTCCCTTATAAGATTTATATCCCTACCTAAATATGACCTTTTCTTTTCAATTCGATAAAAATATCCCTCATATCGTCGAAGTTCCCTTAAAAACATCTTCTATAATGATGTCCAGACTATAAACAATCTGAATGATTAAAACCCTTCAGATTGCTTATAATCTTTCGTGTATACACCTATGAATATAAAGAGACCATGATCTCTTTTTTTTTGGAACATGTTATTCATAATGATAAAAAGAGAGATTTTCTTCAAAAAATATACATGGGGAAAAATCTGAATAAGCTCAAATTAAGAATAAAAATCCCATTAAGATTTAGGACGATCCATCACACCTGATTTCACAGTAAGATTTATGATATATGCAGCCGAGTTGGATGCATGCCTCAGAAAATTTCATACAAATTTGTAGTGTTAGAAGTCATCCTCTCTCTCTCTCTCTCTCTCTCTCTCTCTCTCTCCCACCACCACCACCAACAACGATATTATATTTTTGAATCATACACAAGAAGGATGGGGTGCATGCGCATTTGTAATATGTTAAATGGGTTGAAACCAATGTTGGTAATGGTGTTGGTTCAAATTTTAAGTGCAGTACTGAATATAATTTTCAAACTGGTAGCAAACGATGGGATGAGTTTAAAGGTCTTCACTGCCTATCGTGTCCTTTTTGCCTCTGTCTTTATGATACCTCTTGCTCTTGCACTTGAAAGGTTAAGTGTTGCCTCTACCATATATACCTTTTTAATCTTTCCATTTCTCCAAGATGCATGGTTAAATGTCAATGAGTGAATTGGTTTTTCATTCATAATGCAGGTTATAGCCCCTGAATAAACTAATAAAAAGTCTTATTAATCTTCTACTGCTACTACAATATTTTTCGTTGATTTTAATTGTCTATTTAAGCGCAGGAACGGAAGATCAAAAATAACATGGACAATACTAGGTCAAGCTTTTCTCTGCGGATTGTTTGGGTAATATATTAAAGGGGCTTTTAGATTTTAGGACCTAAATAAGATTACTTTTAGATTAATCTGCATGGTTTTTTCTATCCCATTTAAGTCCTTATTTTAAAATCTTAACGCCATGTCATATTTAATTGCCTCCATCACATTTACAAACTTGCCATCCACATTTTCCTATTCAATTCATAATTAAGAATAAAAATTGGAAATTTACTTTCACACTCAAATCACCCATTAAACACTTAAATCAAAATTCTAAAATTTTAAATTTTTTGAAAAGTACTAATTAATAGGTACAAGAAAATAAATAATTTTTTTTATATTGATTAATTGTGAATATAAACGTGAAAGAAATGACAAAAATAAATTACAAAAGAAAAGCAAAACATCATCACTAACACAATTCCCATCTCCATAAGAAAAAAGAAGAACCCTCATAAAAATTATAAGTACATTAACAAAGTGATATACATGGGTATGAAAGTATAAGTGCTTAAGCATAGGTACAGAAGTATAAGTGCATAACCATAGGTACGGAAGTATAAGTGCATAACCATAGGTACACAAGTATAAGTGCATAGGCATAGGTACGGAAGTATAAGGGTATAAACATAGGTACGGAAGTATAAATGCATAGGCATAGGTACAGAAGTATAAGGGCATAAACATAGGTACATAATTTCGGTATGCAAACTTTACTCCGTGTATCTTCATATAAGTACACAAATCATAGATTTAAAAATACGTACTTGTCAATCTCCATTGACAAAAAATTATCATACACGAATAAACACAATCCATAGGTATACACAAATAAACACAATTCATAAGTAAAAAATAGATTGCAAACCTTAGTTGTTCCAAAATGCAAGAAACATACGAATCATGAGAATATACAATTAAGAGAGATAAGAGATAATATAAAGGAGAAGTGTGTATGTGAGTTGGACATGTTGCTCTTCATAAATAAGACCTAATTGTGCAGCTCGTATAGACATTTCGTAAAAATATTTTTTTTATTGATTTCAAAATAAACATGAAAGCTCAAAGGCCTAATAGTCAATATTTATTAGCTAAATCATAGGAAAAGGGCGATTTAGGAACAGTGATCAAAATTAAATATTAGATCTTACACTCGGTTTTTTTGAAAATTGAATCTTATGAAAGGATGTTAATCTAGTTTTCTGTATATTGAATGTAACTATGAAGCTCACACACTATGTCAATATGAGGGTGTAAATATAAAAAATTTAAAAAGAAAATAATATGTGCAAGAGAGAAAAGTTAGAGAGAAATGTAAGAGAGAGAATGTGAGTTTTTTATTTTTAAATTAGAGAGATAATTGCATGATTTTATTTTGAGACAGAATTGTCTTTTCATTTTTTTTTTTTTTTTTTTTTTTACAAATTTGATTTTTTTAATACGTAATTTAGATTGATACGATAAAGAAAAAGTAAGCCTCCAATTGCATTTTAATTTTTATACACATTGTTTTCAGATTCTCTCTTGATTCCTAATTCATATATAAGTTGAAGTTTTTCTAGTTTGATTGTTGTTTTATGATTACAAATATGGCAGCCTATCACTAGCTCAAAATTTGTTCATGGAGAGCATTGCGTTTGCGTCAGCAACATATTGTGTGGCGATAACTAATCTGATTCCGGCAATAACGTTCCTACTGGCGGTATGCTTTCGGCAGGAGAAGCTTTCGTTAACAAGTATTCCAGGAATGGCAAAACTTGCCGGAACAGCGGTTGGGTTGGGAGGAGCAATGGTCTTCGTATTCTACAAAGGCATCACTATCAAAATTTGGTCAGTTCATGTTAACCTCATAGACACGAAGAACAAAACCACTTCATCGTCGTCGCCCCACCCTACCAATTATGCCTTGGGTGCAGTGTTAGCTTTCCTGGGCTGTACGTGCAATTCACTGTGGCTCATAATTCAGGTTAATTTGAGTGTTGATGATTCCGTTGCTTTTCTTCATTTTCTTTTCCAGTTTTTGACGTGGGGGTTCATGAAAATAAAACGCAGGGAAAAATGACTAGAACATTCCCATGCCCCATGTCGGCCACAGCTTTGACATCGCTAATGGCAACAATTCAATCTGTGATTTATGCCCTTTGCGCGGAGAGGGATTGGAAGCAATGGCATTTGGGCTGGAATATTAGACTACTTGGAGTTGTTTATTCGGTGAGGGGCCTGTATCTCAAGTAGTTAAGATTACGTTTACTGAATCATTATTTTAATTATATTAGCAGCTGATTGGTACTGGTTGGGTGTGTTTGTGCGGTGTAGGGAATATTGATTTCAGGAATTGCGGTGACCTTGATGGCATGGTGTATAAACATGCGAGGGCCATTGTATGCAGCGAGTTTCTTTCCTGTCTTACTTGTACTCGTTGCCATACTTTGTTCATTGTTGCTGGAAGAGAACTTGTACCTGGGAAGGTACGTACGTATATATATGCACGTAATTCCTGTTCTTTTTGTATTTAGGTAATTCAATTATTGTCGTACATGAAATTTGAATTTAGACTCATCCAACAAATGAAAATTTAACTACTAGACCCAATGGTCACCAGTGCACTATATATCCTTACATAAATTTGTTAATTTAAATTTATGGGTTATGTGGAAATGAATGACAGCATACTAGGAGCAGTGTTCATCGTAGGTGGGTTATACCTATATTTATGGGGTAAGAGCATCGAAATAAAGAGGATGAATAGGGTAGAACCACTCGAAACCCCGCGACCTTCAGAATTTCAGTCTATCGAAATCGTTACAACATCAACATCTGCTCCGGCCATTACCACCGGGAGTAATGACAACAACATCACAAGGAATAGCAGCAGAGGTTAAAAGTACCTACTTCAACACTCCTCAACTACTTATGGATTCATATATTCTGTTTGGTAAATTTGGAAACTAAACCTAAGGTATGTTTTATCTGTTTTACCCTCTCATTGACTACAAGAAAAACATTGCTCTTGAATCTTGATATACTGTTCTTCTTCCTCACCGTTTTATTTAACTATGAGCATATATATGCAGGATCAAGAGACTATAAACCGAAAGTGCAGTGGATGAACGTTCGAGGAAGGCCACAGCTATTTTTATTACATATCATGTACTCTTTCCCAAACCAAAAAACAAAAAACAAAACTTCTGATAATACATGTGATGATTCCTTTGTTATATTATTTTCTTTCTGATTTGTGATTTCCTATCATGATGTTATATGTATATATTCCTATTATATGATGTTATGTGATAATTAAAATAACTATATATCATGATCCATTCTCAACCAATGTGTAACACACTCTTAATTTCCAGCAAACCAAAAGCTAACAATTTGATCTTCTCACATGGAGCTTCCATTAGTGACATTTGGTAGAGCTTATTAACCACTCGAGCCAATTATACAATCAATCAGAAGAACCATATTAGTATGCTATCAGTACTCCGCCCATGAAAATTAACCTTGTCCATATACAAGGTTGGAATTTTGAAAGCTTAGCTTGAATTCTGCATCACTCTCCCAGCTTGCATCCTCATTAGGGTGATGTTTCCATTGAACTGAGAATTCAGTAACAGAAGTATGACCATGTTAAATCAACCGGCATTGCAGAATTGCAATGGGAGTGTCATGTATGAGTCCAACATCCATACTACTGGAAGAGGAGAGGAAGAAGAGATACCAGAACCCAAATGCTTTCTTATATGCAACGTACTGAACTAATCAAAACTACATTCCCACCTAAGCAGCCTCCAACTTTGATCTAAGTTGAGATAAAACTCAAGCCCTGGCCCGCAAACTTCTGCCAACCAAATCTAACTTTGCAGTTCCAGATTCATAAGAAGAGACAAGAGGTGATTGACCAAAGACAACCTCAAAATGATTGTGCTTAGAAGAAGTGTTAGTTGATGTAATACTAGTTTCAAACCATGGCTAACCATTGAACCCAACGTTTTGTTTGATGAATGCAAAAAAACCTCAAATAAGTTTCATACCCCTATTGACTACCTCAGTTTAACCATCAGTCTAAGGATGGTAACGAGAACTTGTACAAATTTTTTACCCTTCGCAAAGCAAATAAGTCTTTCCCAAGTATGTCCTGGGGAGGACTTCCAAATTTCAAAGCATTTAGGCAAAACGAGAAGAAATGGATCAGAAAAAGTTAAATGAGAGGAATTAGAAAATGGACCACATAAACATTACAAAGGTATCTAAGAAGGATTTAGGATTGGTTTGGTATTGCTATGCTTTGAAAAAAAAAACTATTTCTGCTATGTTGTGAGAATAAACTCATTTTTTCTGCCTCACATTTTCAGCTTTTTTTCACCCAAAACTGTGAAAATAAGCTATTTTTAAGTGTTTACCAAACACTTTTTTGAGCTCAGCTTTTTTTTATACCCACATTTTATAAAAGCACTTCAGTACCAAACCAGTACTTAGAATAACTCCTTACAAGTCAACAATTTGCCCGTATCCTCTCACATGTTTTTGTAATGCTCATGTGGTGCATTTCTAATTTCTTCTATCTAACATTTTGTAATCGATTTCTTCATCACTATCCTAAATTCCTTGGAAGTTCAAAGTTTGTCACAAACATATCCATTTTTGGGCTTTTGCATAGTGATGTTGACATATGGCTCGATAGAAACCTTGGTCAATTACTTTGTATTGGTTATCCTTGTTTTTCTCTTCATCATAAATTAAATTGATAGCTTTAGGTATTAGAAGGGAAATCATTTGTTTTGTAATAAAATGAGCTCACATAGAAATAATTTTTGTGAACCAAGTGAAACTCATTTTCTCTTTGTACGTTTGTTACTTCAATCAGTTTATATATTGTGAATTTTCTTTATTTATTTGTTTCCTTCAACCATCCATAAAATAACGATGATACTTTTGAAAGTATCAAACACTATTCCTAAATTTTGTTCTTTTTAAATGGGCATTCATTCATCCATCAATCCATCAATTTTTACAACAATGTGGACTTTCCATCCTAGTGATTGCATACGATTTTCCTTCTGTAGTAATTGTAGACCATATCCGTAAGTAACGTGTGTCGGCGTCTAGCGCACGTGTAGAGGCGTCGTTTTCCTAGCTACAATTCATGACAGTCAAAAATGGGCGACCGCTGCAGTGAAGAAGAATATGGGTCCAATGGCTTTTTCGTAGTTCGATTGCCATTCGTGGGCAGTTTGAAACCGTTTGTGTCTTCTATTAAATTTGGAAACCAACCTAACGAACAGTAGAAGTCCAGAACTAGATCACCGTTCAGTCGCAGCAAGCAAGAAGGAGGAAGATGATGAAGATGAAGAACGTCGTCGTAGTGTTGGTTTTGTGCGTCATCTTCTCTGGTATGGAGAACGCCGTCGTAGACTCTGCTGCAGTTGACTGCTATGATGCTTGCAGCACTGGCTGCGTCCAAAGCGACAGTATGTTTTCTACCTACTTAATTACGTACTAATTTATTAAATTATATGATTAATTAGTGTGGATTTGGACTTTCTGATTGAAATTTTATGTGTTTTTAACGAGTTTGGATTCTGATTTTCTGACTGAAATTTTGGGTTTTATTTGAACTGTTGTAAATTCGAGTGTCGAAAGAAATTTAAATCAGAGTTGCTAGAAAATATTATCAAGTACACTACTGATAAATACAATTCATGACAAATACACTTCTGATAAATACAATTTTAATTGGAATTTTGAGAAATTTTATTGGATTTATAAATATATGGGTTTTTATTGAGTTTAATTGACTTCTAGGGATTTTATGTAAAATTTTAAGCGAATCTCCTTAAATTCTCAAGATGAGAGGTGAAATTTAATAATGGTTAAAATATACTATGAATTCTCTCAAAATTTCTAATTTTAAAAAATTCTTTAAGTCAATTTCCAATTAAATACACTTGAGATGTATAAATTTCTCTATGATAGAATACACTTAGATTTTTTCGAGAATCACTTAAATATTGTTATCATTTGATGAAAAAAATATGAAGCATATTTTTTAATCCTTGACAATCGAATTTCAAACTGTTTTAGCTTGGATTTGGTGATTAAATTAAAATAAAAAATAAAAAGCCATTTATATTGTTCCCTCGCAAACAAAACAAACAAATAAATAAAAGCTACTGGTTTTTTGCTTTTTAATGAAAGGTCCTTGTGCTGAAATCTCAGTCTTTGCTTGCATATTAGCAAATTATGGCATCATATAGTTATTAAGTTTGAGATTAGATAGGGAGACGGTGATGAATTTCATGCAAACACTTTAACTGACATAACTCATATTTACGCTATTGCTGATACGGTCAATTGCTTGTTATTATTTTGATAAATTTGTAATTTGTATGTAGTAATTCATTTGCTAATTTGGTGATTCATTTGTGTGCGTGCAGCGAGACTTATGGCACGCTGTGACCGCAAGTGCCAGATTAGGTGCGGTCCAGGTAAAACCCACCGCCCTACACGATCACACATCCATCACTCCTCGTAATATAATTGAACAACAAAACTAATCTATTTTTTTAGAGTCACTTATACTACGTCATATATCTCTTTATTTCGAATATATTAAAAGAGAAATGGCAAGGCGACTTTCTTAAAGTCAGACTTTTGTCATTGTACGGTTTAACGTTAGTTTATGTGATTAGATGTAGATTATTAGGCCCATCATTTAACTGGGCCTAGTCATATCAATCTCAATGGGCCCGTTCTTGACTCTAGTCCAGTATAGGCATATGCTAATTTTGCTTTGCATGCATTGTGCAGATTCTCAAGTTGAGCAGAATTTCAATTAACAAATGGTGAAGAAAATTGACGACCGCAAGAAGAAATAATATGTAACTTATGGCAATGGAGATAATCTAAGCCAGTAATAAATGAAAACATTTGTGTTTTGGAAAGTATGCGAGTTATTGTTTGAAGAACCAAATTACTTGATCCTTTATATTTAAAGTTACTTTTACCAAAAAACTGTTTCTGGGTTAATTTCATTCATCAACCTCGTAGTCTTAGGTTTGATTACTAGTTGCAACTGATATGATACATGTCATGTAAATGAGAGAGAGATATGGGAGGAATTTTTTACATAATAGTTGTTAATAACTACTTTGTCCTTCCGCTTGAGGATATATAGTTATCTAACGATTGTGCCTTTCGAAGTAGATCGGAATACATAACCTTTCGAAGTAGATCGTTAATTAAATGAGACATTCCGGATTAGGCATGTGGCCTCGAAAGTTGTGCCATGAAGCCAACAATGATAAAAGAATTTTGTTTCAAGCTCACGAGAGACACGGGGCTGCTTCTCGCCATCTCTAAGTAACTGCAGCCGTAAGATGCACAGATCTTGAGGCAAAAATGCTTTGGACTCAACAGTAAGATGATTTCAGAAAATCTTCTATAAATAGTTGAAGCTCTCCTTTGCATCTTTAGCTTTTCTTTTCCATATTTCCAACCAAAACATGGTTGTTCTCAGTGTTTTTCATTCTGTTCCTCAGCTAAAAGCGCCATCCTCTTCGCAGTCTTCGCATATGGGTACAACTCGAGTTGAGTATCAAGATTTTTGAGCAGGTTCTTCTTCATTGCAGCCCTCTTAGCTTCCACTTAAGGCGGATTATGAGTGCTAAAACGCCGAGCATCTCATTGAAAAAGAAGTTGACTGCTTGTTTTAAGCACTTAAAGAAATTTTGGGTCAAGCGTGAGGGCTTGTCTCCTTCGAAATTTTACTCATTTTGCCCTATCCATGGGGACTTTGTGTAATGAACTTGTGCCCACACATTTTGCTAAGTGTTATCTACCCAAGCCATTAATTCTGTTAGAGTAAAATAATTTTAGGACTTTTCATCTCTCGATTCCTTATCACGAAATAAAATTTAATTCGACAATCTTTCCAAAGTAAACAAACTCAGAGTTAAGTAACAAAGTCAAACACAAATAAGCTTGTAGGCCCGGGCTTTTGTCTTTGCTTAACAACATTGAAACAAACAATGTAATCTCTCAAACTCTATGTTTATAAAGATTACGACCGAGATAGTAGAAATACCACCCTATTCAAACTCTAGGCCTAAGACCTATGAAATTATTTACTTCGAGATTTGTTGTGATGCATTGATCGGATTAAGAATGAGAAAATTATTAACTTTGTCTATAATGACCTCTAGATTGTAATGTATGTCTGGCATGTTTCCTCGTTGGCTAGTAGTAATTGCTAACACTTGCAGAAGATTGATCTAAGTGTTTGCGAGAAGTATTTTCTTTAAGCATGACTTTGTATCCATTTATTCGTTTGCCTTGTCCAATATTGGGTATGAAGATTTTAATAATGGCAATGTGTCATCAAGAAGAAGATGCTTAATCCCTAGTCCGAATTTGCATGTTCATCCTAGTGAACCTCAAACAAAAGTTAGGAATTTGGTCGCTTGAATGTGGGTTGAAAACACATTTGGAATCCTTTTGTTATACCCTATATGCATTGGACGTGAACGTTTTTTTATCAGGTTAGAATAAAGCTAACTTAACTAATGTATGAATCGGATCTCTTTTAACTCTCTTAGCATGTGAACTTTATCTTTTTAGCTTCACATTTGAAACTCACGTACTAACAATTAATCAAGAGATGACATAACTTTTAATTTGAACGTAAATCCTAGTAGACTTTATTATAAGTGTTTAAATCTTATTTTTTTCATTAAAGAGTTCTCTTCCAATTTCCCTACTACTCCGAGAAGTGTTATCCAATTAAGCCGAAAGGTGAACAGTCAAACACCACATTTGGTCTTCATCGTCTGCGAATGGGAATAAAAAATTCCGCTGCAAACGTCTACAGATTGGGGCAAATTACAGGAAAGTTCCATTTAACATAAAAATAAAATATCCAATAAAAAGGGAAAAAAAATAAAAGAAAAAGAAAACTAGGTCTCCCCTTTCATACTTCTGGTTCGTGAACTCAATTTAATGTGGGCTTTGGATTCCGCGTTTCTGGGTAGAGAGAGAAAGAGAGAGAAAGCCCAAAAGTTAGAGAGAGAGAGAGAGAGAGAAAGAGAGAGAGAGTGAGTGACGTTGATAATGGTTTTTCAGCTTTTCTGACCCGACCTCCTTTTTCTTCTTCTTCTTCTTCTGCGCTGCTTCCTTTCTTTGTATTTTGCAAACCAACCCAGAAATATAAAACAGAGAAAAAGGTTGTCTAATTGTTACTTGATGTTGTCTTTGGTCAGCTGATGTTTGAGGTACAGATCTGTTCTTTGTTTGGTTTTTCTGTTAACATTTGTAAGGATTTTCCGTACAATTTATGTTTTTTTTTTCACCTGGGTCAAATGCCCAGGAAAATCATAGGGTTTAACTTTAAGGGTAAGCTGTTCAAGTTTTGTGCTTTTGTAATTTTGATGCGTTCTTGTTGCTCGCAGATCTTTGACTTTTTGTGATTAAGCCATGGAGCAGCTTTGACCAGCTTAAGCACTGGGATAATTTGGGGGTTTTGTTCAACTGGTAAGTCCCATGATTATGTTTTTGTTGTAACAAAGTTGTATTGAACAAATTATGATAAAAATCTAGTAAATGTAATTGTTGTCATGGGTCAATTCCAAATTTTGATCCTGCACTTGTTTACTCTCGATGTCGGTATGTAGAAATGATTTATTAGTTTACTAATTCAGGGTTTGTTTGTGATCAATTGCTGTAAGAATTTGTTTTTCGGTTATACTGTTTTCTCGGTATGGTCATTTGCAACTTTGTGTTTCGTTCTCCACTGTTAACATGTGATTGAATTTCGATTGTATGATGTCAACCCGTTTTTCTAACGCTGGTATCGTTTTTAAACTTACATGATTGCAGTCTAATATGTCATTTTTTATAGTCTTGATTGATGGTTGCTATGCACATTCTTAGCTTATGTGGCTTATAGATCGTTACGAGCTTTTTTGGGTCCAAATTAGGGTTGCAGTTCCAAAACTTTTGTTACTAAAGTAAAGTCTGGCTCTTTATGCTACTTTGTAGCCCATATGAATCTGCCTTTCCTACTTTTCTTTGTCTTGTCGATTCTAGTTACGTTTTCTGTATCATGTTATGTTTTATTCTCTGTTAAGAAGATTGTAGGTAGCAATTGATTCACTTTTCGTTTGTGGGCAGCCATATGCACAAGCTAAGTGGAAGTCAGAAGATTTTGAAGAAGATACACAATTGTTTTTGGTACTCTTTACCACCACAAGAATGTCATTCCGTAGCATAGTTCGTGATGTTAGAGATGGCTTTGGGAGCTTATCTAGACGAGGTTTTGAAGTCCGGCTGACAGGCCATCATAGAGGAAAATCTCATGGATCGTTAAATGATTTACACGACCAGCCTGTCATTGTTCAGAACAGTCGTTGGGCTAGCCTCCCCCCAGAACTATTATATGATGTCATTAGGAGGCTGGAGGAGAGTGAGAGCACATGGCCTTCTCGAAAGCACGTTGTTGCATGTGCCTCAGTTTGCCGTTCTTGGAGGATTATGTGCAAAGAAATCGTTAAGAAGCCTGAGATCTGTGGGAAGCTTACTTTTCCTGTGTCGCTGAAGCAGGTTTTTCCTTTTAATTCATTTAATGTGATGCGCAGCATGAGTTTGTGCAGAATCAATTTTTTCTTCTCCAAGTATATAATGAAATCAAAGTTACTAAGATTCTGTATATGGTGCGTGAAGCTTGTGATAATAATTTGTATTGAACCAGCTGGACATCATATGATCTTGAGAGCAGCACTTAACAGATAATTATTTTGTTCGGTTTTTCAGCCAGGTCCACGGGATGGACTCGTTCAATGCTTCATTAAAAGGGATAAATCTAATTTAACATACCACCTATTTCTCTGTCTTAGCCCTGGTGAGCATCTTTTCTAACTGTTTGATTGTATTTGATTCATTGCTGGTAGCCTGTCAACCCATTAATTTATCGATCAAATATTTCTAAATATGAGTCACCATTTATTTATTGCTATCACTGAATCCGTGTTTATTTATCAATGAATATCACATTGTTCAGATTACAAAAATATATATCTCATTTAATGTTTGTCAATTATTGAATTTCCGTGGGTCTGCTAGTCTGTTTTGGTTAAACTGTCACGTCTTTTATGTACATGAATGTTTACAGAATTTTAGCTTCAAGTAGTCTTGTTATGAAAAGCAGGACCTCTTGATCAATTCTGGTTTACCTGCGAAAAATGCTGAACATCTATTTTTGGTAGATCTTTATGATTTTATTATCATTTTCTAAAGATAATTTGATCAATTGCCAACTGAATAGAGACTGTATTCAAGTCATGTATGTATTTGGATGCTGAGAATGAAGTTGAGCATATTCCATCCGTATTTACCCATAAGGCTGCTACATCATCTTTGAAGTCGTTATATGTATTCCTTGCGGTTGTAAAAGAACTATTCCAAGTCTATTAACTTGGTTAGTTTTCCAGCTTTCTATTGATTGAGATAGCCTTTCCCTCCTTCAGTGATTGGATAGGCATTTGGTGTAGATGAATACGGAATATTCATGAAGAGTTTTTGCATTTTTTATGAACCTATGTTCAATAAAGAATGATCATAGTCAGAATGAATGTTCATTACTTCGTTATGATCCAATCCTCTTCTCAAAGCCTATATAAACCCCGTTTACTTCCTCATTTCACAATTAAATCCTTCACCAGTTAGTTTGAAAGAGGAAAGAAGTTAATAGTGGTGATAGCATTAATACATGAATGTAAAGTTGATTGTAAGGTGGCTTGAGTGAGGGTGCGGTGTGGTGTGAAAAATTTTTAGGTTGTCAAGGTTTTATTTACATGGCTAGAAACTTATAGTTTGTAGAAAGTTACTCTAGGTATTACATTTTTCGTAATCTTTTTTTTTATTTCATTATGACATGGTATTATCAATCCCTAATGGTACGTTTGTGTGAGGGACTTCCAAGTCCCAAGGGATTTAGGCCAAGTGAGGAAGAAATATACTACAAACATTATGTAGGAGGGATTAAAAATGCACTACATGAGCATTGCAAAGGTATGTAGGAGGAATTTGTAAATGACTCCTTCCATGTAGTCATCTGCAAATCTCTATCACATGCCTTTCCGATGCTCGTGTGGTGCATTTTTAACTCTGCGTATCTAACATTTTGTAATCCATTCCTTACTAGCTTGGCCTCAATCTTTTTGGGATTTGTATGTCCCTCACCCAAACAAAGCATTGTGTCAATAATACTTGCAAACTTCTAGACCAGGAATAGAGTTGGACGTGTACAATGCATCTCGATGCATGTTTTGGTCTTTTTAGCATGAAAAATTACAATAGGTACTGCACTGGTAGTAAAAATGCAACAACTGAAAGTCTGCAAAATTAATAGATAAGTTAACTAGAGGCATACGCATGCACCCTCTTTATGTCAGACATTGATTTTCCATTAGAACTGTCCTAGAAATCATGGGTCATATGATAATTCAACATTCTTTTTGAGGTGATTTCAAGATTTGTTGATGATGTTTACTCTTTATGAATAATGAATATTTATGCTGGCTTGGTTGAGAGCAGACCATATCTAGTTTTCCATGCTTCTGTAAAGTTTACTTTTGGCTTCCGAATTTAATTCTTTTTTGTATAATGTCTCCCCAATTCTGCAGCTTTGCTAGTTGAGAATGGGAAATTCCTTCTTTCTGCAAAGAGGACTCGAAGAACTACTTATACAGAATATGTTATCTCTATGGATGCTGACAACATTTCTAGATCAAGCAGCAGTTACATTGGAAAGTTAAGGTAAGAACATGACGCAAGGACACCGAAAGCCTATTTTCAGTGCACAAGCATACACGATTAATATAATATATAGTTTTTCCCATTTCTCAAATGAACAGTTGGATGATATCTATTAGTTGTATTCCTCTTATTAGTTAGTTTTTCCTTTCTTTCAAAGACCTCTGAGTCGTTTTGCTTACCATGGAACCCCATCGATATTCTTCCTTCAGAGGAAGCTTTGCCAGATAAAATGAATAGATTTGGTATAACCTCTCTTAGCAATGCAAACAAAATTTTCTATTTGGAAGACAAATATCGCGCTTCTTTGTGTAGGGGAGTGGATGAACCGTATATAAAAGTGAGGCCTTAACGTTGCAAATTTTTTGTTGTTATGGAATTCCACGTGCCAAAAAGAATTAGTATAAAGCATAGTTAGAACGTAGACGTGCCTTCAATTATGCAGTACTATTAGGGATGGCTACGACCCAATGGACTTACAAGAATAGTTGATCTTTTAATTGTTAATCATTTATTTATTTTACTTGCTTATAGGACCTTTTAGAAATTTTATTTTGAAGTGTTCAACTTTGTTTCTTTCTCCAGGTCAAACTTTCTTGGCACAAAATTCATTGTATATGATACGCAGCCTGCATACACTTCTGAACATGTTCCCCCACCAGGGCGGTCAAGCCGTAGATTTAATTCCAAAAAAGTCTCCCCAAAAGTCCCGACTGGCAGCTATAACATTGCTCAGATAACATATGAGCTAAATGTGTTGGGCACACGCGGTCCTAGAAGGATGCATTGCATCATGCATTCTATCCCGGTCTCATCTCTTGACGCAGGAAGTACCGTCCCTGGCCAGCCAGAACTCCTTACCCACGCCCTGGAAGACTCGTTCCGAAGTATCTCATTCTCAAAGTCTCTTGACCACTCAGTCGAATTCAGCAGTTCACGATTTTCTGAAATCGCTGGACCCCGAGACAATGAGGATAGCAAGACAAGACCCTTGGTTTTGAAAAACAAGCCCCCACGATGGCATGAACAGTTACAGTGCTGGTGCCTGAACTTCCGAGGCCGGGTAACTGTTGCTTCTGTTAAGAACTTTCAGTTGATTGCTGCTACTCAGCCTGCTGCCGGTGCACCTACTCCATCACAGCCAGCGCCACCAGAGCTCGACAAGATAATCTTGCAGTTTGGCAAGGTTGGTAAAGATATGTTCACGATGGATTATCGTTATCCTTTATCTGCATTTCAGGCTTTTGCCATCTGCTTGAGCAGCTTTGACACTAAATTGGCTTGTGAATAGAAAAGAGCAAATGGACGGTGGTAAGCGGAAAACACCGTTGACAATCGCTCTTTCTCGCCTTTATCTTCTCTTCTTTAGTCCTGCTCTTGTTTGCATTTACTTAGGGTAGGAAATTGTTTGTTGTATTGTTCAAGAACTCAATTGCCACCCTAGTAACAAAAGGTGTAACAACATTTTAATCTCAGATATTTAATGTCACCATGACTTTCTGCCATTCATTCGTATACTGTAACCCGCCTTCTGGCCTGTTGTTTCGTGTTGCTTGGCTGTCGAATGCTTAGTTATACTTTGATTTCGCCAACCCGATTTCCTTGTTTTTCCGGTTGTGGCTGAGCTCGTGATATTGTGTGGTGGCGAATGGCGACGGGTGGTCGGTTGAAGATGGTGGATGTCACAATCATGTTGTAGGGAGGGATGGCATTATGGTAGTGATGATGTTAAGGCGGTGGTGGTTTTGGTAGGCTGTCAACTACTTTGCGTTTGTTGGCATGTTATTTTACACAATTAAATGCCAATTTCCTTTTAAATTTTGTCAATCAATCAATTTTTCACAGCTCCGCATGCAAGATTTGGCACTAGGCATGTCGTGTTTATTTTAACGGATTGTGTTGAGTCAAATTCGTTATCTTATCGGATTGTGTTGTGTTAAACTTATTATCTTAAGGAATTTTCAACAAGTGATCCGATAACGATCCAGTTCGTTAACGAGTCGTGTCGTTTCGTGTTGGCTTAACGGTTCATGCAAGAAATTGTCATGCCTATTGTCTAGACATGGCAAGCAGCTTGTGTTCGTGCCGTACAAGTTATCTTATTAGTTTTTTACTAGATGACTCGATAATGACCTAACTCGTTAACCTGTTATCCAAAACTTGTTATTCTTGTGTGATTTGGTATCAAATTAATGGGTTGTGCAAGAAATGATATCTTCTAAAAATAATAACTATCCTTGCCAAGTTGCCATGTTATCGGGAACCCTAAAGTTTTTACTTTTTAATTTTATTACTATTATTTTATTTCAATGGAAAATCATATTCCATCCAATTCGACTTATTTTTTTTATGTTGCTAAAGGACAGCCTTATTCAAATAAAAAAACTTAGTGCATCCAGTTCCAATACCATCAAATAAGAAGGTGTTATACGTTCTGTTTGTGATACATAACTTCCAAGTACGTAAAAATGTAGTTTTTCATTAAAGTAACTAGTATCATAAGTTTTTCGTTAAAACTTCCATATCTAATTGTAGCTAGAGCGTCTACCACGAAATTAACTTCTCTGAATATATGGGTCCACTTGGATTCTTTCCTACCGTTCTTTTTTATCCTTTGATGCATAGGAGAGCAAAGCTCTATTCAAACACAAAATTATCATATGGTATTGGAGGAGGCTACTGTTGACCATTTTACTTCTCGACTCTTCACGAGATAGATACGCTAAATGAGGTCTGTGACACCTCAGATTACAACCCATCATAAGAAAATTCTTTCAAGCATTTTAAATATTTTTTCGATAGGGTATATATTTTGGTGGATATATTTGTAACATCCCAGATCAACTAACGGAGAGGAGGTGATATACTTTATATGTACATGCCCACCTTCTATAGCATGAGGTATTTTGGGAACTTATTGGCTTCGGATTCCATCGAAACTCCGAAGTTAAGCAAGTTCGGGTGAGAGTATTCCTATGATGGATGACCCATTGAAAAGTTTTCGCGTGAGTTCTAGGTGAAGTCTAAACTTCACAATATATCAGAGAAACTCTTGAATTTCCATCAAAATCAACAGATTCATCGATATTTTCGACATATCAGTTAACCATCGACAAACAATTACATGACATTCTATAAAGTTATGTTTTAAATATCCACGTTTTTTTAGCAGACTTCTTCATTTCTATCAAAGACATCCGATATCAATATATTCATCAATATTCTCACAAATTTGTGTATTAATATTACCAACTATTACGGATATTTTGAACACTGTTTTTAAGTCAAAGACAAGCAAACCATCATGGTCACCTGATGAGGAGCAATCACTCCACAAATATTGGCCCGGTCACTGGGCTAACCCGCAAGTGGGTTAAAGCCATCCAGAGATCATAGACTCTTAATTGCGACATCTATGAAATTGGATACTTTTGTTAGGATTCTAGGGATCTTCACATCTTAATCATTTATCGTGTATTGTACGGTCATAAATCATTTGATTTTTTTATTTAAAATTTAACGCAAATAATATTTGACGAAAACTAATCGTACGATGGATGATGAACGGCGTGGGGTTTAGGGTTTAGGGAAATTGGATCTCTTCCTTCATCTATCACGCCCTTCCACTCAAATGGCTAATTAAATGGATCGACCATCGACGTGATAACGGTTTATGGACACATGCCGCGTATACTTCTACGAACTAGGATCGCTTTTTTTTTTTTTTTTTTTTTTTTTTTTAATACACTAATCTTTATCATTGTAAATAGAGTTTAAAATATCGATATGAGTGGAAATATTGATATAAAAATTTGTAGAAATATTTATGAATATTTCGATATCAATTGTCTTCGATAGAAATGATGGAAACTCTACTTTAGACTCTAAGACCAGTTAAAATTTGCAATAATGCTAAGGAGACTCTTAAAGTGAGACTCCTTAAGGACTTTCTGCTCTCTCATATTTTTCGTATAATGTTTGGCACCGGAATTGTGTCAAAAAGAAGAGATGACGGAGAGTCCATAAATAGTCTTATATTTGAGATAGTCTCCTTAGCATTTCTCTACATGAGGTGATAGAAAATTTATAAAGAGTCTCACTTTTTCGAAGAAAGTTTCCTTCGCATTCCTCTACGGAAGAAGATCCTCTCCGGATCCACATTATAGGGATCTTGGAGATCCCCACATCCTAGCCGTTCATCGTACATCGTACGATCAGTTTTCGTCAGATGCTATTTGCATTTAATTTTAAATAAAAAAAGTCAAATGATTTCTGATCACATAATACACGATAAATGATTAAGATGTAAAGATCTTTAAAATCCTTATAAAATAGATCCGGATAGTATCCATTTCCTTCCTCTGCACACTCGTGATTAATAAATTTGCATTATAATACATTTGTTACACACACGTCATGTCTTCGTTAAATTAACGAAACGTATCCCATAATTTACCTAATAAATAAATCCAACGGAGACACGGCGACACCTATTTCAAATTTTCTTATGCTTTTCTAGTCAAAATATATTTCTGCATCTTTCGCTCCTGGATTTTAGGTTTCGATGGAAGCATAGCGAGAGGGCTGACTCGGTACGCAAGCACGTCTGTCTGTCTGCGTTCTTTTGGGTCAAGTGTCTGTCTTCGATATTCTTAACAAAAACAGAGTTGAGAGCTGAGCTTCTGAGCCTCCCTTCCAAGCAAAACCAAAGGTACTTTTCTTTTCTTTCACTTCTTCTCAGAATTTATAATTTCGATCCTTTGCCTCCTGATAATTTCTGAATCTGGGTATTTCGTATTGTTGCATATTAGGGGTGTATTCAATTGGGATTTTGAAGGATTTTAATTTTTTTTAATGAATCTAGGAGTATTCAATTAGTATTTTAAGTGATTCTTTGAAATTCAATGTGTATTTGATTAGGATTTTAAGATAGTTTATTAAAATCCTTAGAACCCGGTGCATTTAATTAGAATGTTAAAGAAGTTTATAATATTTCATATGTATTCAATTAGAATTTGAATTTAAAGAATTTGGAAAAGTTGAGGAATTAGAGAAAATTAGAGAGATTTTGTAGTGTATTTTAAACATCTACAAATCTCACCTCTTCCCATGAGATTTATAAATCCATTAAAATCTCTCAAATTCCCAACTGAATACACCCCCTTAGAGTGGGATTTGTGTTTGTGTTAGGGTTTTCATATCTTTGCATTTGGTTGTTTGAGTAAAGGTAGAAGAATAGAGGCTAAAATTTGTGAGTTTTCAAGCTGATAAACCTGAATGAATTGTAGGTGGGTTTTGAATTGTTGTCGATTTTTCGCGGTTTGGTGCATCGAATTTAGCTGAATCAGAGATGGGTTTCTGTTGATTTTGCGAATTCTGTGGGTTTTTTGAGTGTTCTGAGGGGTTTGGTGTTGGAATCTTTGGCTTTGTCGGCATGCCTTCTACGAACAATTTGGGTTCTTCTTCGCCATTGACTTCGTTTGGTCGCTCGATTTGGAGCCGGCGAGAGCCATTTCAATCAACAGAAGCTAATCAGGAGTCCAGTGAGCAGGAATTAGAGGTTCAATCTTTTCAAAAGCTTGTGACAGACCTGTTTCATGACTTGTCAGCTGTTGGTGCTGATGAATTGCTCTCCATTGCGTGGATTCGGAAACTTTTGGATGTTTTCGTTAGCTGCCAAGACGAATTCAGGGTTTTATTGTTGAAAAACAAGGCGCAGTTTTCTAAACCGCCGTTGGAGCATTGGGCGGATGAATACTTAGATAGGAGCTTGAAGGCACTTGACATTTGCAATGCTGCTCGTGATGGGATTGACAAGATTCGTGTGTGGCATAAGCATTTAGAGATTGTTCTGTGTGCCTTGGAGTCTCGCCAGAGGGCATTCAGTGAGGGCCAGTTCCGTCGAGCAAGAAAGTCTTTGGTGGATTTGGCAATTGAAATGCTTGATGAGAGAGACTCTGGGTCTGTTTTTTCTCACCGCAACTGGTCTTTTGGGCTTAACAATAACGCAAGAAAGGATGCTCGCCGTCGCCAACACTCATCTGGGAGTTCAACTGGGCATTCCCGCTCTAACTCGTGGAGTGTATCACACTCTTGGTCTGCAGCTAAGCAGCTTCAGTCAATTGCAAGCAACTTGGTAGCACCTCGTGGAAACGAGGTTATTGCAACAAATGGGCTTGCAGGCTTTGTTTTCACAATGAGTTCTGTGCTCACATTTGTTTTGTCGTCTCTTGTGGCTGCGATCCCATGTCAGGATCGAGGCATTAGCACTCATTTTTCAATCCCACCGCAGTACTCCTGGGGCATCCCATTATCCTCACTTCACGAACGGATAATAGAGGAATCTAAGAAGCGAGAGCGCCAGAACTCAAATGGGTTGCTGAGGGAGATTTGTCATGTCGAGAGATGTACACGCCACATGACAGACTTGATGGATCTGGTTCAGTTTCCATTAACGGAGGAACAGAAAGTGGAAGTCGAGCAAGAACTGCAGGAGTTAGCATCGATTTGCGAAAACCTTAAGAATGGACTGGATCCTCTGGAACGCCAAATTAGGGAAGTATTCCGTAGGATTATGAATTGCAGAACGGAGGGTCTCGAACTTTTGAGCAGCGCAAACAATCTGGAGTAACTTAAAAGAGGTAAGTTTCGACTGAGCATGAAATGTACAAATCCGCGAATACATTCGTTGTTTTGCATATTTCCAAGTTGCAAGGAGATAAGTAAAGTGGTCAGCAACAATACAAAGGTTAAACAAGCGTCGTGAACAAATCTCTTCGTGTAAGAATCTCTTCGGTTTCTCGAGCAACTAGCATTTTTTGTTTCTGGGACGTAGGAAAATGAGGTCTGTATGTCACAGTTTGGTTGGTATATGTTATGTTCGAATTAGCAACATTCTTACAGTTTGTTTGTAACTCTGGTTCTTTTGATACATATCACTCAAGTACTATTTAGTTACATATTTACAAATCGTGAACGGATCAACATCGGTATACCACATTCTAAAACTGATCAACATCGGTATACCACATTCGAAAATCTCCCACGAGTAAACAAGTAACATTAGTATGAATTAGTCCATCGTCTAGCTCCATCGGTTTGCCCTTCAATCGGGATGAAGGGCAACCGATGTTGCTGTAAATGAGAAGGTTATTTCTACAAATGATAATTACAATGGACCTGGCAGATGTTTGTAAGGGATCTCCCACAAGCCGTCGATTGAGAGCATCCACCATTACTTGTATCGAAATTAATTCAAAGCTTCAGCTGTAACTGCTTCTCTTTACAAAATCCGCTTCGACTACCAAAAGATTTAACCAACAGCTTATCAACCCTTAGACCGTTTTTCTCTTTTACGTATTTATATACCAAATTTCTTGTATGTATAACTGCAGACAACATGGGTGGTACCGCATCTACCAGTTCATCGAATGTACTCTGCGAAGAACACGTGGTGGTCTCCGCTTCTCTACGATCGGAATGAGGTTCTCCATGAGCTGCAAGTGCAGACAGAGTGAGAGAGAGTTAGATCATTTACTAACACTTACAGAATGCAGCTTGATCTATATAAAGAAAACAATGAAATCAGCAAGTTTGCAATGCGCGAACCGGTTTGTTGAGTTATAAGCTATAGAACTCAATACTAAGCAACCAGATGGCGTCTACGTTGATCGCTAAAAATGCATTTCTGCTAGTGTGACGATTCCCTAGCCAAGCTTTAACCGTGTTTAACAGACCTCTACGATCATGTTTTCAACAATAGTGTGAGGAGTTTCCTTATTTCTCTTGCATCAGAAAGGTTCAAGAAGCAAACGAAACCTTTTTATTCTCGTGGAGCCATTCGGATTCTTTCTACCCATCGCATAATCTGTTACTGGCAATGTTTTTCTACCAATGTTTCTTAAACAAAAATCTTATTAGGTAATGTTCTACAGAGCAATCTTCACAATGCAAGGTCAAAAATCGGTAAAAGCTAGAAAGTAACTCGTATCAATTTCATTACGTACTTTAGAACTTAAAGCTGAATGGAAGGAGAGTTCGATTGTATGCTATATGAACTAGAATCTGCTATGTATAACATGATCGTCCCTGCAAGTTGTTTATGATATTGAAAGAGATAAACACACAAAGACGGTTCACAGTTCATATCTAGATTCTAAATAGCCACACATCTGCATATATAATGCGATGATCTCTCTATTTCTCTCGTCGAATGTATAGAAAACGTTATTTCACAAAGTCTGAGAAAGTATACACGAAAACAGACACATAGACATACCCGCTTAAACCTCTCCTTCTTCTGCTCGGCCTGCATCCGAAGTAGATGATCACTTAGGCATAAACTCAGAATGCAAAATTCATACGGATTAGAGCGAAAAACCGTGTTTTAAACAGAATGGTAGAAGTATATGACCAAATTGTAAGAAAGGATTGAAGAATTAATAGACCTGTTGTCTGAGGAGCCGCGCATTTTCCTCCTCCAGCTGCGTTACCAGAGATTCGAGCTCTACGGTGTAAGCCTAAAATCGCAATTAAAACACAGCAATTTCAGTAACTGCTTTCAGATTTCTGTTTGTTACAATCAAATTAAATTAAACTAAATCAACATTTTCTCAGTAACCAAACAAACATGATCCAGCAAAGAATGAACCGAACCTGCTTCCGTTCCCTGGACCGGGCAGCGGACTCTCTGTTCTTGATCATCCTCCTCTGCTTCTGCTGCGTCGCCTTATCCAGCGGAGCCTCCTGCACCACTCTCCTCTTTCCAGCTCTCCCTCCTCCGCCTCCGCCTCCACTCGTCGTCCCGTTCGCGTACACCAACTGACCCTGAGCAGCTGGAGGCGGGGGAGGAGGAGGAGGAGGCTGCACCTGGAACTGCCCGTACCCAATCGGAACTCCGCTGGCAGTCACGTTAACGTCCTCTTCCCTCACGGCCCGAGCCCTGGTGAGAAAGTCCTCCAAGGTCATCTCCTCCATCCCAGCACCACCGCCTCCTTCTCCTGCCCGCACCTGATCCCCGCCGTCTCCCTCGGCCGCTCCCTCCTCCTCCTCTCCCATTCCCACTCCCACTCCTCCGGCGACGATATCCTTCCAGACGTCGTCGACGGACCTCGCCTCGGCGTGATGCTGATGTTGCTGATGATGATCGTTGTCGTCCACGTCGTGTGTGGTGGCAGTGGAGCTGTAGATGTTCTTCAGGATGTCGTCCATGGTGACGGACGGATGCTTGTGATGGTCGTCGTCGTTGTCAGCCATGAGAGTGGAGAGGGAACATATAGACTCTCTCCGCGGCAGATCCGAATTCGTGGTTGAAACCACCACCATCTTCGAAGACGCCGCCATCATCCTCGCAACCCTCTCCCGGATTTCTAGCCCTCTGATTTGATTTTTCCCTTAATTTCTTCTTCTTCGACGAAGAATTCTGATGATTCTCTTTTTTATAAATAAATTAAAATTCCAAACCAACAAACAAAACGAACCAAAAGTTGTGATGCTGAAGGTGAAGGCTTAACTGTGTGTCCGGCTGCACTGCTTACTGGTTTACCATAATTATTATTAGATTTTAATTAATCCTCATCCAATCATTAATCCTGCATGATATGCTTTGCCGCCTTCCACTTAACAGCCTCGAGATATTTTTTAGTGCGTCGACAAGACGAACTAATCCATAAGTATCAATATATAAATGACTGTATATTTGAAAAAATAAAATTTCAATTACTTCTATTATGACACTTGAACTTGATGCAACCGGTCTGTATTTTCAACACATTGAAAATAAAACTTCGAAGTTATGTCTATTCAACTCATTGCATAATGCGTTCAAATTCTTTTTCTTTTACCTACTGTATATTAGCGTCGAATATTGAACATTTCCAGCCACAAATGCAAAATGCCTTATAATGTGCATTTTACATTTGTTTAATTGGACGGAAAAGATGTAAAATATTCATTTTGAGGGAGATTGGGTGAGAAACCAAAAGCTAACACTTAAGGATAAAACTGGCACACTCTAGCCCTTTGTAGTAACTTATGTGAGTTTGATATCTACGTATAAGAAACAAGCAACATGGGCTTGTTTGATATTACTATTGACACAGTGGTATGAGTTTAATAGTAATTAGCTTTATAAATTAAAGGGTAAAGTATAAAAAGTTACCTTAATTATTGGTGTCACGACATTTCATACCTTATTTTTAAAATTGACAATGTCATACCTCATCTTACGAATTTATGCCAATGTCAGATCCGTCAGTTTTTCTGTTAAATACTGACGTGGCCAGAGACAAAATCCATTTTTTATTAAAAAATTAATTAAATATTTAAAATTAAAAAAAAAAAAACCAAAAAAACCCATCAACCCGTGTCCCCCTCCCAAAAATCCAAATCCCTTTATCTAAGTTCTCTCCCACCCAACCCTTTCTCTCTTCTCTCTCTCTCTCGTTTCTCTCTGTTTCTCTCCCTGCAACATGCATCCCTAAAATCCCAAAAATTCTTCCCACCTGTCCCCCCCCAACCTTCCTCTTCGATCCCACCGACAACAACCTTACCTCTATGGTTGACTCCAACGATGACAGCACGACCCCCAATCGCCCCCAAACCCAAACTCTAGCCACAACCTCTACAACAACATTCCCTTCTCCTCCTCGCCCCCGAAGTCTGCCCCTCCGGCGATTTGCGAGAGAAAAACAAAACAATAACAACAACAACAATCCCAATAGAAAAACTCTCCGGTTTTTCCAAGAAATTCCAAGATTTTTCGAGAAAATTAGAGGAGGCGCGAGAAACAGAGAGAGTTGTGATCTGAGAGTGGCTCTCTTTGGTCTGAGTTTCCGATAAATGGTGTATATAGGCGGGTCGGATGAGAAGGAGAGAGTGGAGGTGAAGTCCATGGCGATGGGTTCTGAGAGGGCGAAGCCTCTACACAATTTCAACTTAAGGGGAGCTCTGACGCAAGCGGGAGTGGCGGGGAAAGGTCTGGGGTTAATCGGCGATCGTCGGCACAAAGGATTGAGAGCTCGCCAGCGGTGATGACTCGGGTGGGAATGGTTTCTGGGTTTTGGGATTTTAGGGATGTAGGTTGCAGAGAGAGAGAAGAGAAAGATGCGAGAGAAAGAGAGAGAAAGATGGTTGGGTGGGGGAGAACTCAGAGAAGGGGATCTGGGTTTTTGGGGAGGGGGGACACGGGTTGATGGTTTTTTTTGGTTTATTGTTTTTTTTTTTTAATATTTAATTATTTTTTTAATAAAAATGGGTCTTGTTTCTGGCCACGTCAGCATTTAACAAAAAAAGTAATAGAAAAACTGACAGAGGTTTGACATTGGCACAAATTCGTAAGATGATGTATGACATTGTCAATTTTAAAAGATGAGGTATGAAAGTGTCGTGACACCAATAGTTGAGGTAATTTTTTGTACTTTACCCTAAATTAAATGCGAGACACATCTTCTTTTTCTTTTTGTATTTTATGGTTGGTCACTGTTTTTCTTTCTCTCATTTATTGTACAAGCATCAAACTTATGATTTCAATACATATAGAACTCTGTCACTCAGTACTACGGTTTAGTGATATCTATATTCATCTTGAAGTGAGAGGTTTTAGATTCGAATCTCGTGGATGACGAATTTGATACCAAATTAGGTTGTCCATTGTATGGTTTAGCTGAACTCTCCCTTCCTCTAGTGTAACACCATCAATGTACTAAAAAAAGAAATTAAAACAAAAAAAAAAAAACTTAAAAATAAGAATCACTCTCATTGCACTCATATTTTCCAACTCACTGTAAAAATTTGATTCTTATAGTAGTGTTATCAAACTCATTTTTTCCAACCCACTATGAAAGACCTAAGAAATCTAAAGGCGGAAGTCGGATTGGTCGAAGAACTCCTTCCAAGGCCAAATGCAATACTTCTTAAATCCCTCCATGAATTTCTAGGGTCAAGACTGTAGTACTATTTGTAGTAGAGGTCATTATATATTGTATTAACAATCAGAAGATGGTCGATCGCTGTGCTTTCATCTAAGCGAAACGCTTCCCTACCGATGCATTTTTACCTCCAGTAGCTTCTACCCACATTTATTATGATACTTTATGCACCAAGGTAGAAAAACCATGCGTTAACCCTTTCAATGTTAAGGAGATTATTTTAAAAGTGAAACTCTCCATAGATTCTCTAGTTGAAAATAAAGGGTTTAGGAAAAATTTAGAATTCTCTACAATCTCACATTTCTCAAATACAACTTCAATACTATTCTTGTAAAACTCCACCCCCAAATTATTGTGAATTTTACATTCCTCCTAAAGGTTTACTCATTTTTACAATTTGGTTCCCTTATCCTTAACCAATCCAAACCCTTGCTTTTAGAGTCTCCTTCTCTCTCCATTTGCCACATGGCACCACCCTAACTCATCCCCTCTCTCTTTCTCTCCCCTTCTCTCCTCGAGTCTCTCAGCTCACCTTTTTTCTCTCAACTCTCTCTGTCACTCCCACTCTTCCCTTCTTTGAAAACCCATAGAGACACACACACGGCAACACCACCCACATCACTACTGTGGGTTACTCTCCGATGACCATACCATCCTCGGATCTCCCTCGTTCCCCTCTAACTCCTCTGTAAGTGCAGACATCGGGACTTTCATCACCGCCACCGTAGGTCGACAAAACCGGCGAGTTCCACCTCTTTCCAACTAGAGAAATGGCTTGGGAAAGAATCCCATATTCCAGCGAGGAAACCGTAGCTTTCCCGGCCACGACAAGAGCCCCACAAGTGCATATATTGTGGCGTTCCTGTCTTTACTAGTTTGCGTGGCTCTTCGGTAGCAAAGTATCTGATTTAGATTCAAGGCGCACGATCCCAACGTCAAGACACTTCCGTATCGGCATCTTCGAGTCTTTAGGACCCATTCTTTTATTCATTCAATTTTATATTATTTCTTTTTAGTATTCTAATTAGTTGTATGCTCTGAACACGTTCCCCTTTCATATATTAATTACATTTAAATGTTTAAGTCATATTTATTCTTGTTATCATGCGTTCTAAATGGCTTGCGTCAACTTTGGGTGTCAACCATCACGTACCTATCTTGGTGTTCGGGGAATATCGGGATCGAGACGTGTCAATTCTTCTCCACAATGAGGTATTTATAAGATAAACAAAGGAGCAATACTAGAAAATAAACCAAAACAATCCTAGACCAAATCAAATCATATAAAATATTTATTAAATCATATAAAATCACTAATTAAATCAAACCTGAAAATACTTTCCCTTTTATATTCCAACATCTCTACCTTCTCATGTTTTGTCACAATGTTTTATAATGTTAGCACGAAAATTGACGTTAAATTGTGAGGTTGCAGAGAGCCTACAAAAATCCTACTTTAAAGAGTCACATTAGCATTTCTCATAAACTAATTATGCATTACGATCATAATGCATTTCTCATTATTTACTTTCTTTTTTTTTTTGGGAGGGGAAAAAGAAGAAGTAAATAATGGGAAATGAAATGCATTATGATCGTAATCTAAATTAACCATCTTTAAGTGGCTGGTCTAGATCCAGTGTCACCGTTTGATTTTCTTAGTCAAAATGTATTTAAGGTTTTACTATTTTTATGAAAATGCATATCTTTATTATTTATTAAAAATAAGTCTATTTCTATCACTCTTAGGAAATAAAAAAACTATATTCTAAATACAAATTTGAATAAAAGAAAAACATATCTTTATAAAAATGGTAAGACATTAAAAACCCCAGATTGAGTTCGTATAAAACGTGACCAACCACCACATAGGTTCCATATAGTTTTACTCTCGCCCTTGTTCGACCAGGAAAAACCAGAAAATGGCCAGCCAGGTTAGAGGCAGTGCAATTGTTACCGCAGTGATGGCGATGGGGTTGTGCATGGTGCTTCACGGTGAGACTGCTCATGGCGAAACCTTCACCGTCGGAGAGGGTGATGGCTGGAACTTAAAGGTTCATGACTGGCCTAATGGCAAGAACTTTACTGCCAATGATACGTTGGGTAAGTTTTATGATTTAAGTTGCAGCCAATTTATAAATCATGTGTATGTGTTCGTTTGATACCATTTTAGTTTTGAGTTTTAGTTTTTTACTTTTGGGTTAATATACGAGAAATGTATATTAAAAAAATGGGACATTAAAAAGAGCAATGGAGATATGAGAAAAACGTACTAATGGAAACAAAGTTTTGAAAGTGAAACCAACTGAAAATGATTTTTTGTTTCATTTTATGTGTTTTTTCTTATATATTTCTTCTACAACTCTCTTATTTTTTATCCGTTCTCTCATTCCCTGTCATTTATATATTTCCATGTCAAAATAAATATTTGAAACAAAAAATGAAATAAGTTATTAAATGAGCCCTAAATTTTTTTTACTTGTTGGAAATTCGGTACTTTGGATAAAAAGTATTGAGATATATTGATCAAGAATCACGATGAACAAAAGATTATTGATGACAAAAAAAATGAGGCTACATCATTGATTTTAATAGAAGTTAACAAATGTTTTCCAAAGAAACATTTTAGTGAAAAAATAAAATTTGAAGGATCAAAGCTAAGTGGATTCTCTCAAAAATAGGATTCTTCATAGATTTTTTGTCACTCCACAGTTTAACGTCAATTCTCGTACCAACAATACAAAATATTGTGCAAAAAAAATGAGGTGACATAAAGTCTATATAAAGTCTCATTTTTTTAAGAGTCTATCGAGAGCCGAAGGAAAACTTGTGGAGGTATATATGGCATGTTAGTGCCCAAAATATAAAAATCTTGTATTCCTAACATTACTCTTTTTGTTGGTTGTTAATTTAATTAATTGGTATCTAATTTGATTGCAATGAAATCTTATTTGCAGTGTTCAAATACAACAATGCATTCCACAATGTGGCAGTCGTAGATGAAATTGGTTTCAGGACATGCACAGTCGGCGACAAACTCTTCTCGTCGGGAAACGATGAAATCAAAATTCAGCAGGGACAAAACTACTTCATCTGCGGTTTTCCTGGCCACTGTGCTGCTGGGATGAAGATAGCAGTCACTGCTAAATAATAATATAATTCCTCACATTATTAAGATTTTTTATGAGGCAAAAGCCTTGACTGAATGTCTTAAGTTTAAATAAAATCAGTGAACTATGTTTGTTCTTTGAATCATATGCATCGTTGGTTTGAATAATTAATTGACGAGGGTGTGTTTTTTCTCTTGAGACGAGGGTGTCTATTCGGTATGTACCATTGAGTAGTCCAAAAAATTAACGATTAGGTCTTGCATGTAGAGAAGCTAATGGACATGTACAAAGGTTAAATCTTGTATAAGAACCCATATAACTGAGTGGTACGCAGCATTGGTGTAAAAATGTGCCGCTAAAACTTAGGAGCATTGTAGCGGAAACTTGTTAGTTATAAGCAGATCCAACCCCACCATGTATTCGAGTTAATTAATTTTTAACTACAATTGTGGAATTACCACCTTAATTTACACTGAAAAAAATACTTATACTTGATACTCACTTTGGAGAAGAAAAAATCTTATCTATACAGACACTCTATTTGGTCTACAAATTTAATTTTTCTAGCGTTACTCAACTAATGATGAAGGCATGGCAATCCTAATCATTTTATTTTGTACTTCCTTTTCTTTTCCTTTTCTTCCTCTTTATAAAAAAAAAAAAAAAAAAAGTCAAATCCCCATAACAATTCAATAAAGAAGGCATGGCAATTTCTTCTCTCATTTTTATTTTATTTTCTTTTTTCTTTAATTATGACTCTTTATGAACCGAGCAGAAGCATGAAGTGTCTTTTTTTTTTTTTTTGTCAAACAAAGTGAAATTCATTAGATAAAAGCTAATACAAGGCTAGAAAAGTCCACCAAACAAAAACAACCAAGCAAGCAAGAACACAACCAAATAAAATACAAGGGGAAAAGCCCCACAGTAAAACCCATAACACCCTAAAACATAAAACCCTCAATCTGAAAAGAGGGACCAGCTACCACCACCCAAGTAGCCACACCACCATCGTGAAGCCGCCGCCATCTAGAAGAAGACTCAACAAACCAACTGGATGAAATGGAGAATAGGGGTGGAAAACCACCCGCGCTATGAGTGCTCCCATCATCTTACCAAGTAGTGCTAAATACACTTTGAGAGCCACCCAAACCCAAAGCATGTCTCCAAATGAGATCCATGGAGAAAACACAAGATGAGTCGAGTGGCCAAGGCTGGTGGACAACTTGCGGCTAGGAACAACTATTGGAGTGGAAGAAAGCATGAATTTCGGATTTGAGATGAGAATCGCCATAAAGTGAGACAAAGCCTAAGGAAATTGAGACAAAGCCCACAAAAATTGAGACAACTCAAAGCAAAGTGAAGCTGCGCTCAAATACAAAATGACCAGATACAGCCCTGGTTTGGCATTGAGATGATTTAAAAAAAAAAAAAAAAAAGTGGGTATGAAAAAAAGTTGGAGGGTTTTTGCAATTTGGTAAACTCTCAAAATCGACTTTATTTCAAAGTTTTGGATGAAAATAAGCCCAAAACCTGAAGCTGCAAATAGCAATTTCCAAAAACCAGCTTATTTTCAAATAGCAAATAAGCCCTAACTCATCCCCTCTCTCCCTCTCTCTCCCCGAGTCTCTCAGCTCACCTCTCTTCTCTCAACTCTCTTTGTCACTCCCTCCCTACCTTTCTTCGAAAACTCATAGAGACACACACAAGGCAACACCACCCACACCACCACCGTGGGTTACTTTCCGGTGACCATACCATCCTCGGATCTCCCTCGTTCCCCTCTAACTCCTCTGTAAGTGCAGACATCGGGACTTCCATCACCACCACCGTAGGTCGACGAAATCGGCGAGTTCCACCTCTTTCCGACTAGAGAAATGGCTCGAGAAGGAAGCCCAGATTTCGACGAGGAAACCGTAGCTTTCGCGGCCACGCCAAGAGCCCCACAAGTGCAAATATTGTGGCGTTCCTGTCTTTGCTAGTTTGCATGGCTCTTCGGCAGCGAAGTATCTAATTTAGATTCGAGGCGTACGATCCCAACGTCAAGGCACTTCCATATCGGTATCTTCAAGTCCTCTCGGTGTAGGACCCAATCTTTTATTCATTCAATTTTATATTATTTCTTTTTAGTATTCTAATTAGTTGTATGCTCTGAACACGTTCCCCTTTCATATATTAATTACATTTAAATGTTTAAGTCATATTTATTCTTGTTCCCATGCGTTCTAAATGGCTTGCGTCACCTTCGGGTGTCGGCCATCACGTACCTATCTTAGTGTTCGGGGAATATCGGGATCGGGACGTGTCAATTCTTCTCCACAAGGAGGTATTTATAAGATAACAAATGAGCAACACTAGAAAATAAACCAAAACAATCATAGACTAAATCAAATCATATAAAACATTTATTAAATCACATAAAATCACTAATTAAATCAAACCTGAAAATACTTTCCCTTTTATATTCCAACATCTCTACCTTCTCATGTTTTGTCACAATGTTTTATAAAGTTGGCACGAAAATTGACGTTAAATTGTGAGGTTGCAGAGAGCCTGCAAAAATCCTGCTTTAAAGAGTTCCGTTAGCATTTCTCATAAACTAATTATGCATTACGATCATAATGCATTTCTCATTATTTACTTTCCTTTTTTTTTGGGGGGAAAAAAGAAGAAGTAAATAATGGGCAATGAAATGCATTATGATCGTAATCTAAATTAACCATGTTTAAGTGACTGGTCTAGATCCAGTGTCACCTTTTGATTTTCTTAGTCAAAATGTATTTAAAGTTTTACCATTTTTATGAAAATGCATATCTTTATTATTTATTAAAAATAAGTCTATTTCTATCACTCTTAGGAAATAAAAAAAACTATATTCTAAACACAAATTTGAATAAAAGAAAAACATATCTTTATAAAAATGGTAAAACATTAAAAACCCCAGATTGAGTTCGTATAAAACGTGACCAACCACCACATAGGTTCCATATAGTTTTACTCTCGCCCTTGTTCGACCAGGAAAAACCAGAAAATGGCCACCCAGGTTAGAGGCAGTGCAATTGTTACCGCAGTGATAGCGATAGGGTTGTGCATAGTGCTTCACGGTGAGACTGCTCATGCCGAAACCTTCACCGTCGGAGAGGGCGATGGCTGGAACTTAAAGGTTCATGACTGGCCTAATGGCAAGAACTTTACTGCCAATGATACGTTGGGTAAGTTTTATGATTTAGGTTGCAGCCAATTTATAAATCATGTGTATGTGTTCGTTTGATACCATTTTAGTTTTGAGTTTTAGTTTTTTACTTTTGGGTTAACATACGAGAAATGTATATGAAAAAAATGGGACATTAAAAAGAGCAATGGAGATATGAGAAAAACGTACTAATGGAAACAAAGTTTTGAAAGTGAAACCAACTGAAAATGATTTTTTGTTTCATTTATGTGTTTTTTCTTATATATTTCTTCTACATCTCTCTTATTTTTTATCCGTTCTTTCATTTCCTGTCATGTATATATTTCCATGTCAAAATAAATATTTGAAACAAAAAATGAAATAAGTTATCAAATGAGCCCTAAATTTTTTTTACTTGTTGGAAATTCGGTACTTTGGATAAAATGTATTGAGATATATTGATCAAGAATCACGATGAACAAAAGATTATTGATGAAAAAAAATGAGGCTACATCATTGATTTTAGGGTCCCTCAGATATAAGTCCATGCAACACTTATTTCCTCGACAAAAACCCATCTCATTTTAAACATCCAAATAAAACCCAAATTTGAAGTAGACTGCCATGTAAACAATTAAATACCTATTATTTTCAAACTATTTACAATTGTGCCACAACACTCTAATTATGTTAATGAATTTAATTATCCACCATAATTGTGGGAATTAAGTGCCTTATTATTATAAAATTATCTACTTTATACTTCTCTTACCATCATATGTTTCATTTCGTTTATTTGTTTGACAATCATTGTAGGTAAATTATTTTGCATGTATGTATTAGGTACTTTGTTAAAATTATATATATGCGTGCAAATAATTTATCTATATTTTTAATAATATGTAATTAATTAATTTTGAATCAATTGGCTAAAAACATTTATTTATTTTGTAGGTAAATTATTTTTCATGTGATAATACATATATACTAGCCACATTTTGTTATTATTATATAGAGTGTGCAATCAATCTACATTCTTTTATTTTGTAGGTAAAATATTTTGCATGTAGGCAAATTGTTGTGTGTGTGTGTGTGTGTGTGTATATATATATATATATATGCAAAATATTGGTATTTAATTAATTTTGAATAAAAAATATTTATTTATTTTGTAGGTAAATTATTTTGCATGTATCATTACATAATTTACTAGGAACTTATATTGTTATTATATATATGTTGTGCAAAATAATTTACCTATTTTATATTTAAAATATTGATAATTTTGAATAAAAAAACTTTTTGATAGTTGTAGGATATACTAATTTACTTGTTAGCATCATGTGAAAACAAATATATAAGGAACATTGGTATCATGTAAATTTTTGTTATTAAATGCATATGAATCATGACATTTAAATTTTTTTCCAAATCTCCATAAGGTATTTGAAGACATTTAATTGAATGAAATAATGTAAAATAAAATTTAGATAATAAGTGAGAGACCCAAAGTAAGTGTTATTAAGGGTAATTTAGACATCAACAAATACAAATTTTGCCAAGTCAAACTTAATTATGGATATTGCTTAGTTGGAGCCTAGTCATTGGGTTTTTGTTAGAGAAACTTACCATGATGGGTTTTAGTTAAAGAAAATTGAATTCTAAGGGGTGTACTCATATTTTCAGTTGATTGATTTTAATAGAAGTTAACAAATGTTTTCCAAAGAAACATTTTAGTGAAAAAATAAAATTTGAAGGATCAAAGCTAAGTGGATTCTCTCAAAAATAGGATTCTTCATAGATTTTTTGTCACTCCACAGTTTAACGTCAATTATCGTGCCAACAATACAAAATATTGTGCAAAAAAAAATGAGGTGACATAAAGTCTATATAGAGTCTCATTTTTTAAAGAGTCTATCGAGAGCCGAAGAAAAACTTGTGGAGGTATATATGGCATGTTAGTGCCCAAAATATAAAAATCTCGTATTCCTAACATTACTCTTTTTGTTAGTTCATACATTAATTTAAATAATTGGTATCTAATTTGATTGCAATGAAATCTTATTTGCAGTGTTCAAATACAACAATGCATTCCACAGTGTGGCAGTCGTAGATGAAATTGGTTTCAAGACATGCACAGTCGGCGATAAACTCTTCTCGTCGGGAAACGATGAAATCAAAATTCAGCAAGGACAAAACTACTTCATCTGCGGTTTTCCTGGCCACTGTGCTGCTGGGATGAAGATAGCAGTCACTGCTAAATAATAATATAATTCCTCACATTATTAAGATTTTTTATGAGGCAAAAGCCTTGACTGAATGTCTTAAGTTTAAATAAAATCAGTGAACTATGTTTGTTCTTTGAATCATATGCATTGTTGGTTTGAATAATTAATTGACGAGGGTGTGTTTTTTCTCTTGAGACGAGGGTGTCTATTCAGTATGTACCATTGAGTAGTCCGAAAAATTAACGATTAGGTCTTGCATGCAGAGAATCTAATGGACATGTACAAAGGTTAAATCTTGTATAAGAACCCATATAACTGTGTGATATGTAGCATTGGTGTAAAAATGTGCCACTAAAACTTAGGAGCATTGTAGTGGAAACTCGCTAGTTATAAGCAGATACAACCCCACCACGTATTCGAGTTAATTAATTTTTAATTACAATTGTGGAATTACTACCTTAATTTACACTGAAAAAAATACTTATACTTGATACTCACTTTGGAGAAGGAAAAATCTTATCTATACGGACACTTTGTTTGGTCCACAAATTTAATTTTTCTAGCATTACTCAACTAATGATGAAGGCATGGCAATCCTAATCATTTTATTTTGTGCTTCTTTTTCTTTTCCTTTTCTTCCTCTTAAAAAAAAAAAAAAAAAAAAGGTCAAATCCCCATAACAATTCAATAAAGAAGGCATGGCAATTTCTTCTCCCATTTTTATTTTATTTTCTTTTTTCTTTAATTATGACACTTTATGAACCGAGTAGTAGCATGAAGAGTCTTATTATTTTTTTTTTGTCAAACAAAGTGAAATTCATTAGGTAAAAGCTAATACAAGGCTAGAAAAGTCCACCAAACAAAAACAACCAAGCAAGCAAGAATACAACCAAATAAAATACAAGGGGAAAAGCCCAACAGTAAAACCCATAACACCCTAAAACATAAAATCTTCGATCTGAAAAGAGGGACCAGCTGCCACCACCCAAGTAGCCACACCACCATCGTGAAGCCGCCGCCATCTAAAAGAAGACCTAACAAACCAACTGGATGAAATGGAGAATAGGGGTGGAAAACCACCCGCGCTATGAGTGCTCCCATAATCTTACCAAGTAGTGCTAAATACACTTTGAGAGCCACCCAAACCCAAAGCATGTCTCCAAATGAGATCCATGGAGCAAACACAAGATGAGTCAAGTGGCCGAGGCTGGTGGACAATTCTCGGCTAGGAACAACTATTGGAGTGGAAGAAAGCATGAATTTCGGATTTGAGATGAGAATCGCCATAAAGTGAGACAAAGCCAAAGGAAAATGAGACAAAGCCCACAGAAATTGAGACAGCTCAAAGCAAAGTGAAGCTGCGCTCAAATACAAAATGACCAGATACAGCCCTGGTTTGGCATTGAGATGATTTAAATAAATAAATTTAAAAAAAAAAAAAAGTGGGTATGAAAAAAAGTTGGGAGGGTTTTTGCTATTTGGTAAACTCTCAAAATCGGCTTTATTTCAAAAGTTTTGGATGAAAATAAGCCCAAAACCTGAAGCTGCAAATAACAGTTTCCAAAAACCAGCTTATTTTCAAAAACATGGGTGAACAATAATCTTTAATGAATTTTTCAATAACCCAAAATTGCCCTCATTTCCTCGCATTCACACTCTTGCAAAACTTGAACCAGAAAACTTCAATCCCAGATCTCTCTTGTTCTCCTAGCGATCTCTCTCGTTCTCCATATTTCTTCAGCTTGGTATAGATTCAGAGTTACCCAGAGTTGAGATTAGGCGATTGGTGTAGATTCAGTCTCGAGTTCGCCGGAAAAATGACCAAGAAAGTCACCGTATTTCTAGGCATGAACACAAAAAGGGCATTTGGGTTAAATCCCAAGAATTTCATGCCCAAATTCGATATGCAGGATACAGACGTTGTACCTGAGATTAAATGAAGGTTGAATTGAGTTTGAAGCACCCCAATTTCGTCGAGCCTCAGGTCAACTCGTTGAAGAGTTTTTCACCGAGAGGGAAGGGTTGGCTTTCTTCATTTTTGAGTACTTGAACTTCCCATGCAACGCCACCATTCGAATCCATAGGTCAAACTACACATAAAACAGGGAATATTGGTATGAATTTCACTCGAAAAATGGTGTTGGTGTGGGTGATTCTCTTTGTAATTAGATAGAGTGAGAGTATCATAAAGAGAGAGTTAAAGAGAAAGGAGTCTCACGGGAAAAAGGGAAGAAAGAGAAAAGAAGAGGGAGACTAAATAAAAGGAGTGGGCCCCTTAAGGCACACTAAATAAAACCAAACCCTTTTTGGTCATTTCACACAGTCACAGCTGTTTTACATAAAAGTTTACCAAACACTATAATACTGCTCTTTTTTCCAAAATCACTTTTACAGAAAAGTTTATCAAACATTCTGCTTCTGGATTTCACATCTGTTTATTCTCACAGCACAGCAGAAGTAGTTTTTTTTTTCAAATCACAACAATACCAAACCAGCCCATAAGGATCAAAAGCAAAGCAAGAAAAATAAGTAAAGAAGAGAGCCACATGAAAAGTAAATTTAAGGCTTGCCACCGACCCCAATCAAGGAAAGGGGCCAATGGCTAGGAACCAGAGTTTGCGAGTAAAGGTCTTGGCGGGTGAGAGAAGAAGGATAGAGCAGAGAGAGAGGCCACCTTATCGTGGCTTACACAAAGTGATCTTTCCCAATGGCACCATTGAATGGTCCAATGTGGCCCTAAAGCTAGCACCAAGACTCTCAAACTATTATTTCTTCACCCACAAAGTAGTAGTGAAAAAGTTACAAACAGCGTATCCAACAACATATATTTTGCTAGCATATATAGTGCTCTCATAGTGGATCATGAGGGTTATGAAAAGTAGTTTGCTCGCTCGACCAAAAAAAAAAAGAATAAATGTAGAGGAGGTAATATGGATAGTTTGTCACATTTAGTATTGATCGTACACAAACGGTAATTGGAGTTGGCACCCCTCATAAACACATGATTTGGACCGACTCAATAAGTTATTACGTGCGCTTCCAGGGCTGGGGAGAAGGCCCTTTTTTATTTACTTGCGGCATAGGCATGGCGGGATAGGGCTTTGCTTTAGAAAATGACTTCACTCTTTTTAATAGAAGTTAACAAATGTTTTCCAAAGAAACATTTTAGTGAAAAAATAAAATTTGAAGGATCAAAGCTAAGTGGATTCTCTCAAAAATAGGATTCTTCATAGATTTTTTGTCACTCCACAGTTTAACGTCAATTATCGTGCCAACAATACAAAATATTGTGCAAAAAAAAATGAGGTGACATAAAGTCTATATAGAGTCTCATTTTTTAAAGAGTCTATCGAGAGCCGAAGAAAAACTTGTGGAGGTATATATGGCATGTTAGTGCCCAAAATATAAAAATCTCGTATTCCTAACATTACTCTTTTTGTTAGTTCATACATTAATTTAAATAATTGGTATCTAATTTGATTGCAATGAAATCTTATTTGCAGTGTTCAAATACAACAATGCATTCCACAGTGTGGCAGTCGTAGATGAAATTGGTTTCAAGACATGCACAGTCGGCGATAAACTCTTCTCGTCGGGAAACGATGAAATCAAAATTCAGCAAGGACAAAACTACTTCATCTGCGGTTTTCCTGGCCACTGTGCTGCTGGGATGAAGATAGCAGTCACTGCTAAATAATAATATAATTCCTCACATTATTAAGATTTTTTATGAGGCAAAAGCCTTGACTGAATGTCTTAAGTTTAAATAAAATCAGTGAACTATGTTTGTTCTTTGAATCATATGCATTGTTGGTTTGAATAATTAATTGACGAGGGTGTGTTTTTTCTCTTGAGACGAGGGTGTCTATTCAGTATGTACCATTGAGTAGTCCGAAAAATTAACGATTAGGTCTTGCATGCAGAGAATCTAATGGACATGTACAAAGGTTAAATCTTGTATAAGAACCCATATAACTGTGTGATATGTAGCATTGGTGTAAAAATGTGCCACTAAAACTTAGGAGCATTGTAGTGGAAACTCGCTAGTTATAAGCAGATACAACCCCACCACGTATTCGAGTTAATTAATTTTTAATTACAATTGTGGAATTACTACCTTAATTTACACTGAAAAAAATACTTATACTTGATACTCACTTTGGAGAAGGAAAAATCTTATCTATACGGACACTTTGTTTGGTCCACAAATTTAATTTTTCTAGCATTACTCAACTAATGATGAAGGCATGGCAATCCTAATCATTTTATTTTGTGCTTCTTTTTCTTTTCCTTTTCTTCCTCTTAAAAAAAAAAAAAAAAAAAAGGTCAAATCCCCATAACAATTCAATAAAGAAGGCATGGCAATTTCTTCTCCCATTTTTATTTTATTTTCTTTTTTCTTTAATTATGACACTTTATGAACCGAGTAGTAGCATGAAGAGTCTTATTTTTTTTTTGTCAAACAAAGTGAAATTCATTAGGTAAAAGCTAATACAAGGCTAGAAAAGTCCACCAAACAAAAACAACCAAGCAAGCAAGAATACAACCAAATAAAATACAAGGGGAAAAGCCCAACAGTAAAACCCATAACACCCTAAAACATAAAATCTTCGATCTGAAAAGAGGGACCAGCTGCCACCACCCAAGTAGCCACACCACCATCGTGAAGCCGCCGCCATCGAAAAGAAGACCTAACAAACCAACTGGATGAAATGGAGAATAGGGGTGGAAAACCACCCGCGCTATGAGTGCTCCCATAATCTTACCAAGTAGTGCTAAATACACTTTGAGAGCCACCCAAACCCAAAGCATGTCTCCAAATGAGATCCATGGAGCAAACACAAGATGAGTCAAGTGGCCGAGGCTGGTGGACAATTCTCGGCTAGGAACAACTATTGGAGTGGAAGAAAGCATGAATTTCGGATTTGAGATGAGAATCGCCATAAAGTGAGACAAAGCCAAAGGAAAATGAGACAAAGCCCACAGAAATTGAGATAGCTCAAAGCAAAGTGAAGCTGCGCTCAAATACAAAATGACC